CGAGGGATCGATCTCTCGCTCTTTCTCTACCAATAGTGGTGTCCCACAGGTTCTGTTCTTTCACCTACTCCCTTCCTTCTTTTTATCAATGATTTACTTCACACTATGACTAATTCTATCCATTCTTAAGCTGAAGATTCTACTCTTCACTCTTCTTCACATTTTTCCCTTCCCCCTAATTCTCAAACTAGATCTGTTTCTAGAGCTGATATCATTACTTCTATCAATGCGGATCTGTGCAGCATCTCCGAATGGGGAGGTAGAAACTTGGTTAAATTCAAAAGTATTAAAACTCACTATTTATCAATTACACTTTCAAAATTAGATGATCTCCCACCAATCACATTTCAGGACGCAATCATTCTGCCAGATTCTAAAATAGATATGCTAGGCCTCACCATCTTCTCTATGTCATGGAAGCCACACATCCTCAACAATGCTAAAGCTGCCTCCCGAAAGCTGGGAATGCTGTGCAGATGCCGTAGCTACTTCACTTCTGAGCAGTTGCTTCAAGTATATAAGGGATTCATTCGTCCTAACTTGGAGTACTGTTCTCATATCTGAGGTGGCTCTTCTTCTGTCCACCTGTTAGATAGGGCGGAGTCAAAGGCATTTCGTCTTATTAACTCCTCCTTTAGTTAATAGTCTTTTTCCCCTTTCTCTTCGCCGAATTGTTGCTTCACTCTCTCTCTTTTACAGGTACTTTAACTGGCAATGTTTGGTGGATTTGGCATCCTGTGTACCGCCAGCAAGGCCGTGGGCTCGTAACACTCGTCTTGCCCGTGGTGCCCACCGTTTCTCTGTGGATGTCGGTCACACTAGAATAACCCGTTATAGCACATCCTTCTTTCCTCACACAGCCAAACTGTGGAATGCTTTGCCTTCATCTGTGTTTCCATGCTCATACAATCTGTCTCACTTCAAAAAGCTGGTTTTCCGGCATCTTCGTGGTGTAGATTGATATAATATTTTTCTTTTCTATTTTTAATTTTTTGCTCTTATTTTTTCTCCCCCTAGGCCCCGTTGTGGGTCGATGACCTGTGCCCCGGTGGGCTATTCCCCGTAAAAAAATTACTTTTACTATACAAAAATGCCTGAGAGCAATATGCATTAAAGATAAAGTATTGGAATTTTCTGGTGAAAAGGGGGTTCCGGACCCCCAGGACTCCCCCTGGATCCGCCCCTTTTATGCAGCTTGCATTTTGAGGCCAGTACATTTGAGAACTTGAAATATATACTGCGTGGACTGCCAGTACCAAGAAGACTCATAAGGTAAAAATGTTCAAAGGGTAAGCTTATATTATTTCAGCTACAACATAAAAATATTTTTATGACAATGCAGCCTACTGTGGGTCAGAAATTAAAAGTACCCCGAAAACAATTTAGAATAGCTTTTATATATTCCAAAGAAGCAGCAAAATACTAAACACAACTTCTTATGAAGGAGTGTCTGTTTTACTTTTGTTACCGCCACAGTAAGATAAACTAGAAGACAAAGAGAGGGATAGCCACAATAAGATGAACTAGACGAGAGAGAGAGAGGGTGAGAGGAGAGACAAAGTGTTGACGAAGAATTTGCTGAGGTGTTTAAATATGAAACAGATGGTCCTCGCCTCGGGCTGCGATTGCTCTCACAGTAGTCTACCGATTCTTGCAGGAGAGACAACACGTTGGTCAAACCCTAGACCCTAAAACGTGAGTGTGATCGTGAACTATTCAGTCCTCTAAATAAAATACTCTAAATAACTTTAATAAGTATATTTATGTACTGTAATTTGATCATATTATACAAATTGTCTCCTGATGTATCAACAGTTGTAATATGCGAGTTATATTGAAGATGTTAACAGGATATGTACTATATATTGATTGTATTATTCATACTATATGTCCTGAGATAACAGCATTTGTTATATGTGAATTGTTCTTTGACAGGTTTTGACCGAATTATATGGTACAAGTCAACGTTGAGGGTTTATTTCTCCAGCAACAAACCAATAACGCTCCTATGAGCGTTAACAACTTTCTTTATTCACAAGTTTTTAAATGACTGCACAGGAAAGCAAGAAATGTCATGTTTGTAATCATAATTTGTATGTGCTTATTTTCACATCAATTGGTTATCAATGGGCGTGGAGGTAGCAAGACTTTACATCCTCTAATATAAGCTCTCACATTGTGGTTGTTTGCTGCCATGACCCTCATGCAGATTATAAACATTAAATTATATAATTAATTAGGCTATCCTAGTAGTAAAGTCTAGAGAAGACATGAATTCTCTAGCCTCTGGCTAGTACCTTATAAGTAGGGTATTAAAGTATATGGCTGGAACTGAGCATTCAATTCGGTATTTATTTATTGATAAGTTCGTTAAATGTTCCTTGTTTAAGCACATGCTTAGCTAGAAAAATAATATTCAGGATATGGATTTAGCACAAAGGCAGCTGGAAATAATTGTTGTAGGTTATAGGAGAAAAAACTAACAGCTGAACTCAGTGACTAATTAAACCTCGTTTCTTGCGGTAGTGGTATTGGTGGGGATTAAATGGTATAATATAGAATATATGTTGATACTGGTAATTTTTAATCAAACAAAAGAACCAGACTGTTGTTCGAGTTTCAAGAGCCGAGAAAGGAGGAAGAATAAGGGTTATGCAAGAAATTGAAACTGAATGGACACAGGACAAAGATGAGAAAGGAAAGGTACCCGACTGGGGAGGGTCACCCCCTCTCTAATGATTGGTCAAGTTGCCAGAAGTTGGTCACAATGACCTCAAATATTCAGGGAGATGGTCAAGAAAGGACACACACACACACACTGGTAGCAAGACAGTGGGTCGTGTTTTGAACGGTTGTGGTAATGCTAGACGTACGATAAATAAATAAATAAATAAATATGAACGTGAATTCGTGAACGATGAAAAGCTGTTTCAGAAAGTAAAATTGACACACATACCACTAGGTTTCAAACCTATGATAGTGCAGCAACAATATCTGGAAAGTACAATGGTGCTCAAAATAAATTATCTGAAATGCTTGAGAGACCAATCACTTACCTTCCCTGTCTACCTCTTGGCTCTAATTTATTGATTGGTCGTGGCTGCAATGCAAGTGAACTAATTACACATATGTATGGTGTACTGGAATCTTGCTATGTATTTTGAGCAGTAGCATCAGTCGTCATGCAGCTCTTCAGGAAAAGTTGGCACAAATTGAAGGTGCACATGGTAGATGTATTGCAAAATGAGGATTTTGATGTTTCTGGAACTCTTATCTCCGTGAAAAGTACATTGAAAATACTTCTTTCAATGTGTAGTGATGATGAAGCTCAAATCTTTTTGCTGGAGGCTGCACTTAACTCTGCAAAAAAATATTGATGTTGATGGAGAAGAGTTCTAGAGGGTTCACCGTCGAAGAAACAGCCCCCAAAATTGACGATAATCCTAACTCTAGTGCTCAGTATAATTTGTATTCCTACTATTGTAAGGAAATGAATGCAGTTTTAGATATGATGATTTCTGTGTTGACTTCAAAATGTGAAAATCTGAAATATTCATTCAAATATTTTGCGTATGTTCTTGATCCTAATGTTGCAGACTTTGACTCAGAAAACTTTATTGAAACCATGAAAAATCTGCCAGAAACCTATCCATCTGAAATACCTAACACTAAATCTTTCCAAGTTGTGGAATGAAGTTGCAAGTAGAGGGAAAAATTTGCTGATGGGACCAAGTGATGATTTCCTTGTAAAATTAAAGGCTGTGGAGAGATTGTTCAAATTTTATCATGAAGAAAAGGATTGAACCAGACAAAGGAGTAATAAAAACACTGACTTCGGACATATCACATTATGCGCAACAACCTACTGATGTAATTACATATTTTGCACGATGTCTGTTTTTTTTTGTTTTTTTTTATAAAACGCATTCTCAACACAAGCATTAAAGAATCTCGGGAACAATATCGCAAGATTAGTAAACTAATGAAATCTAAATAATATATCAAATAAAACCACAAGAAGAAATCACTACTGTCTAAATGTAATAAAAGTTATTTATGCAACCCACTTTTAATTTCCTGATCACACTGAAAGAAACTGTACACATAAATAGCCAATATGAAAATTGTTAGCAGACAGAACTTAAATTGTAATGACAATTACTGAAGCTAAAATTTATACACTGCATGACTCAGTCAGTCAAGTGTTCATACCTGGCGCTGGAGAATGTCCCCCAATAGGGTTCACAGCTTAAGGTTGAAGAAGCCGCAAGTTCAGAAAATTGGCAAGGCAAAACTTTTTTGGAGTGAGAGTTGTAAATTCTTGGAACAATGTGCAGATACATTCTGGAACCTGTACATGCCCCAGAACAGAGATGTGACCAAGGAAACTTTCTTGGGCGTCACCAACCGCCCAAGAGGCCAACAAGCCGATCAGTGACCAAGAGAAAAACAACACATCGGTCTGGGGGTCTTTGGGTACGGCTTTTTTAAACTGAAGTGAAGTATATTAAAAAATATATTAATTATACTGAGTCCAAACGAACGAATTGTTAAACTACAAAACGAATAGTTATCATCTCGCAGTGCACAATACACATGTCATTTTCTTATAGGTAATAAATCGCTTGCTTTCTTTGACACGTTGTTCGGTTTTGTCCCGCCATTTAAGTTAACCCAAGCTGCCTCACGATGTGTTCTGTAATTCTTGAAATTTTTATCTCTTGGTCTTTCTATTTGTACTTTGATTTTATTAAGTGAATTTTCAATATTAAAACAACAATTATTTCCCGCCGATATGAGTTATGTCTCCCCGGCTTCAGATGGCTGGTGAAGAAGGGTAAACCTTATTTGAAGTTATGGACCTTTTACTCTAGTATCACATATTATATTTGAAGGATAATTATAGATAATTTTCAATCATAAATTTAAAAAAAACATTACTATTTGTAGAATATTTTCATTGATTATAAGTATATAGTCACACAGTAAGGACTCGGACAGGTGATCCTCCACAACAACAAACATGGCGGCAGCGTCTGAAGGCGAGGATTTCTTCGCTCTCGTTTCTATCGAGGAAAAAGGTCAAATATCCGAGAATTTAGCCAAAAAGCTACAGGATGTGTGGACGGCAAAACTTAAAGAGCTCACAAACTTGAAGGTTGAAAGTGAGAAGGAGAGACTTAATGCAGGTAAGCGTCTGTCACACTGACCGATTCAAATTTTTGTTGCTTTACTGAATTCGGATTTTGTTATTATTAGTAGTATTACGTATTGAAGCCCAGAGCTTGTGGTAAAGGTCTAAAATGGTAATGACATTGAATAATTTAGTATTAAGGTTCTGCACGTAGAACATTGTTCAAAATAGATAATGTATTGGTCAGCAGCCCTGGCCCAGCCAGACCCGGCATGGTCTAAGTACTGATACACCCCATTTCGTCACCGACCCGGTTTGTCACTAAAACCCCATTTCGTAAAAAAAAAAAAAAATCGGTTTTCCGGTTAAGATTTGTTTTAGGTACACCATGGAACTTCATATTTCTATTTATAATTTTTTTTATGTAGGTGGGAAAGTAAAAAAAAATAATCCTGGAGCAGATGGCTATCACCAAAACTCGTTCGGTCTTGCAGTGAATTTTAGGATTTTAAGTTTAGTTTAGGTTTGATTGAAATTATGTTTTCCGATGGTTTTAGGTGTGTGGCCGAATCGATCATTTTACCAGTAATAAAAAGGATGGGACAATGCACAGAACCTAATAGAACATAAACAACCAAAGAAACCTACCTAACATCCGAGCCAAACAACTCCTTCTGGTGTTAACGGTCTGCTTCACTGTTACCCAAAAGAAGAATACAGTACTTTAATCTATTACGTTTCTGTCGAATTTATATTTTTAAAGTATGTTAACCGATATCCACCCTACCCTACCCCCTCCCCCCCAATTACCAAAAATACTGGTTGTTCTACGTGGCCAGGGCTTTGAAGTAGAGGGAAAATTTGGGGAAAATACTAAAAGGAACACTAAACAAAACTTTGAAACATAACTGAACCTTTCCCACCTTGTAAAAAGGTTAAGAATTGCTTTCAAGTTTATGGGTTCCTCCTCATCTGAACACTGAAAACAACACCATCACACTAAACATCAAAAACACTAAGTGTGCTTTTTACAGTTTAATGATTTTTATAGGTTAGGTAAGGTTTTCAAAGGTTTGTTTGGTGTTCTTTTTTTTGTATTTTACTCCACAATTTCCCTCCACTTCAAAGCCCTGCCCACTTTGAACAGCCATGATTGTTGGTAATTGGGGGGGGGGTCATCTCTCCATAACTCATTTGTGATGGAAAGAAAGGTCAGATTCGTTTGAAACAGCACCAAATAGGCTAGGAAAACCTAATTTTGTTAATACAGGGTATTTACCTTGGTGTACCTAAAACGAATCTTTACCAGTTTTCTAGTGCATTCTGGGTAAAGGTGGAGGAGATAGCTAGCAGTAGAAATTATTCATTGAATTGCACAAAATTTTATGGAGATATTATTTGTTTGATACTAAACATGAAAATGGAAACAACAATGCATAGAACCTGACCTAACCAAACTAACCTTACCTAAATTCCTAATACCCCTGGACCCCTTGGCATTTTAAGCAGAAAGAAATTACCTGTACTTTAATATTTGGTACTTGTGAAAGCAACTTTCTTGAAGTGGGATGGTGTAATATTATGTTTTTTGTTGACAGAGTACGATCAGTTATTGCACTGAAACACACATTTCTTCTTCAGTGTCAGTTTTCTGCTGCATTTTTATCTCTTGCACGTACTGCCAACTAGCCGATGTTGACAGATGGACTCAAGAGATAGTCTGCATCCTCCACAAGCACAGATACATAACTTGCAATACAATATCGAACACAACGAGATAAAGATGACTTTGAAAAACAATATGGCTATCTTCTCCCTCAGTCCTCCTTCCTGAGGAAGAACAATAAGTACGGTAGTTAAAGAGCATACAGTTCACTTAGAATCCAATGCTACTCGAAAGAAATTGGAAATGTATCAAAACTGCTTAGGAGTGAAGTAGCTACGGCATCTATACAGCATTCCCAGCTTTCAGGAGGCAGCTTTAGCTATGTTGTGGATGTGTGACTTCCAGGACATATTTGAGGAAATGGTGAGGCCCAGCATATCTATTTTAGAATTTGGCAAAGGTTGCATCCTGAAATGTGATTGGTGGGAGATCTGCACAACACTTTGGACAACATCATTGGCCTTGAAAATGCCAAAAGCAGCAGTGGTATTTACAAAAACACACTGAATGATTTAACAATTTGAGAAATTATACTCTTGTTCAGAGAAGCCATACTGTGACTAACCAAGTCAAATTATGAAATTCACATTCCTGAGCATGTGTAGGAGCACTGCATCACGTGACATAACTTCCGCTAATTGGCAGATTTTATTCATGTGTAAGAAGTAAGCAAATATATCCCTGCGAGCTTTTAACTTGAAAACTATAAATCTCCAATGGAAATGCTACAATGTGAAGTACAGTATTGATTTTTTGTTTATTTGTTGTTCTCTGACCCAATATAAACATATTACTGTATAGAGTCCCATGGTTGGTCTACCAAATCTTAGACAGCAGCTTGCTTACCATAAATATGATGACACGTTTACCTGGCCAGATGGCTGAGTAAACATCATGTGTCAAGTTTCACCAAAGGGCCTTCTGTTAGAACAGAATGAGTATAGCAACATATCTTCTCTGAGGTAAGACAAAGCTAGTTATGAAGATTTGTGTCCGAGTCTCTCGTCAAGCATTATTTTGATCTGTTGGTACAGTAATACCCTGTGTAGTTTATCTTCCCACATACTACTACTTATCTACCCTATTACAGTTGAAATGTGTTTTATTACCATGAAAATAGGAAGATACTACTACTTATCTACCCTATTACAGTTGAAATGTGTTTTATTACCATGAAAATAGGAAGAATTGAATTTCAGTTGAAAAATCTATAAACAACACAATCATTAATTTTTAAATGAAGTTGCTAATTAGATCTATTCTTAGAGGAAGTGTTTTGTTCCAGTAACATAAGAGATACAGTGACTTTATGTTGTACTATACTATGTAGCAAGTTATTTTAAAAGCAAAGTGAACCAACCAAACTAAACATCCAGAACTTTACAGATGCCTAGCTGACAAAATTGGGGTTGCCCCAAATGAAGATATTGATATTAGTATCTATAGTTTTTTATTATGCTGTAGATTACTTCAGAAATATTACTTTTCAAACGTTGTCATGGGTCTTTTTTCTTTTCTTTTTTCCCATAGATCAGGAGAAATTTCAGCTTGAAAAGCAGCTGGTGAGTGTCCGTGGCCATCTTGAAGAAGAAACCCACCTTAAAGTTGAGAATAAGAAGCAAAAAGAAAATTTAGAAAACAAATTGTTTATATTGGAGGAGGAACTACAGCAAGCCAAAGCCAAAGTTACTTCCCTGAAGCGGGAGTTGGAACAGTTGAGTGAAAGATACAGATTGTAGTATAATGCAGTCTTGTATTATCTTTGATCAAGGATGATTCCCCCTTTTTTATTTTTTGGGGGTGGATAAAATGTATCAGTTGGTAGTTATTGAATTTAATATTTGCATTTTATATTACTGTATGCAATGTTATATGATTTGGAGTGTTATTATCATTATCTTTAAATACTTATGGCATTTTTTATAGTTCTCAAAATGAGAGAGAAGATGTCTCCTCACATTCAGCGGCCATGGCGGGCAACCTTGAGTCCAGGACCAGGAAGATACAAGAGCTTCAGGAAGAGGTAGGACTTATCTCTGTGTGTTTTTCAATGCTTAACTTGTTTTTTTAATTTATATGTGAATGCCACATTTGAAAGTGAATACTGTACTGTATACAGTACTGTAATTTAAAAACTTAATACTGCACTGTATTCACATCATTATGAACTGTTCCTTTTAATTATTATTTCTGCTCGCAACTAATGATGTGACTTTTATTAACCCTTCAGAGGGCAAAGTAGCAATTCGGTACAGGGGTGTGTTGAGGCCAGTTTGACCCGTTTGTTGATTGTTGAACAAATATTTAGCAGTCAGTAGAAATCTATCTTGAAATGGTGCCCAAAAAATTATTTTCTTTATTATTAACTACTACTATACTGTATACTATGTTACACAAATTAGAGCAATTTATATTGTTGTATCACAGAATAACTTGGACACATAAAGCTAACACAGTTTATTTTTGTTCCACAAGAACCTTATATTTTAAATAAAACCACAGAAATGTGGCTTTTTTATTTCCCACAAGTAGCTTCTAAAAGAAGCTTCTTCAATACATCCCAGAACAATTTGCTTATGAAGCATACTTCAGTCACTGCCAACATCTTCCCCACTCACCTGATTGCTACTGGTTAACCAAATATATCTATGACATAAGATGTCATTAGCATGTTTCACCTAAACATAAGAAATAATAATCACAAGAGTATTGAAAATGACTGAAGTTTACTCTGCATCTGGCAAATTAAAAAAAACTGTAGCTAGCCTAATTTGTGCCAGGATGAAAACTTGAAAAATTATAATAACAATGAATGTGTATTTAAAATACTGTCGTCTTATTCATGAGGTTACTCGACTTTATATATGGCAAATGGCAACTTCTCAGATAGCTGATAGACTGCACGGTTAACAATTAATTGATATTGTTGCTTGATATGACAATATTTTTCCACCTTATTTTGACATTAGTAATATTCTTTACAATGGAGTCATGACATTTCATGGTTAGGTAATCAAAATTTGTGGCCGAGCGCCGACTGCCCCAGTGTTTAAGAAACTAAAAAAATTTTGGAAACACTGTATAATTTTATTGCTCAAATTAATCTTGGAAATAAAGAAAATGTAGTATGAATATCACTTCAATGCTCCAATGAGACTTAAAAATAAAGAAAATACAGTATACTGTAATATAAAACTATAAAATAAGGAAAAATTTAAAATAGGAAGTGAATTGTTTGTGGGAGGCAGGGCAGTTGGGTCATGGACTGAGCATCCAATCCCTTCCCCTCCATTCTTAAGCCGAGTGTACGCCTCCAGTCTCAGTGATACAGCATTATGCAATTTCACCATAATTCCCATATTTAGGTTCATTTGGTACCTGGTTAATAAAACATTATCATAGAATACAGTAATCAATTTTTGCAAAAGAAAATCCTGAACTTCAGCGCAGGTGAGTTATTGTGTGGTATGAAATTCCTGGTTCTTTGTTGACATAGTGCAGTCAAGACCAGCACAGCACCTGCTTGTCTTCGTGTTGGTGTATTGGCGTAACCCACATGAACATATGAAAAGGAAAGGTGCTGTTAATGTAATATAAAACTACTTATTGTGTATACAGTATCTTATGCATTATTGTATATTATGTTGTCTTATGTTCGATGCTTAGTGTTTATTACAGTAGTTTTGGAACAGTTTATGGGTATTTCTTGGCCCTGAAACTAAACTGATTATTTCCATTTAAATCTTTTAAACTATGATTTGCGATTTGATAAATTATGATGTCTTTTGGTACTGTACCTAGCCCGCGAATGATCAAGACACCACTGTAGCCTATTTACTTTCCTGATGCTATACAGGTATCTCAAGAACTTTCTATCAGCCAAATTCTATTAATGAACTTTACTGTATTTTTAATTATTTAAACTTAGTGACTAACAGTATTTGGTTTGGCAAACCTGCCTTGGACATTAGTTGTCCAGATTGCACTCTGTGTCACTAGTGTTGAACTCAAAGTTGAAGCGATCCTGTCGTTGACGTGAGTGAACTTGTACTGATCTGTTGAGATGGTCAGTATTCATGCAGTTTACCATGTCTAGCATCTAAAGCACAGTAATAACGTGAATGTTATGCTTTAAGAAAAAACTACCCTCATTAATTGTTTTCAGAGTAAAGAGACAGGGCCTGTTTCTAGAAAACCATCTACTTTTAGCACAACAGAAGCCATTTGTGAGTATAAAGGATATGTGAAATAATTTGTCAAAAATTTTACAAACTGCTCTTCAGAAAGGTTAAAATGTGTTACAGTAATATCTCCATTAGCCGTAATCCCTCAAACCCGGAACTCTCCGATACAGTGGTCCCTCGGTTAACGAGCACAATCCGTTCCAGCAGGTTGCTCGTTAACCGAAAAACTCGCTAACCGAAACCATTGTTTCAATGGGTTTTTGGGTAATTGGTTCCAGCTCACCGAAAATTGCCTAAATTCAACAAAAAAGGTAGAAAAGTACACTTACTTTGAGGTGTGTATGTAGAAGGCTCCTGATGATGATGATGATGGGAATTAGAATGGGGGAGGAGGAGAAGGAAGAAGAGAAGGCATTGGGGTGGAAGAGAAGTCACCCCATGGCACCATTTCACCCATAAAATTTTAGTTCTCTTGGTGCATTTCAAGATTATTTTCTTTAAATCAACACTGCACTGCATTATATATTGTCAATATGTAAAATATATTTCAAAATGACCAATAATTTGCTTGGAAACACAGAAAAAAGCATTTAGTTGAAGAGAGTCTCAAGCAAGATGTTACCTCCACTGAAAACAGAGAGAGACTAACGCCTGTCTGGTGTGTTAACAGGCTGGATGGCACGCCAGAAACTAGTTTCTTTACCTTCAATTATGTTCAATAATTGTTAAAATGACTAAAAAAGTTAATATTAAACTTTTAAAATTATTGAATAGTATAAACTTCTTGATATTTACTAAAATAGTAAGGAATTTAAGCCCTAAAACCGATTACTGTATTGGCGGACTAATACTACAGCTGGTGGACCGCCAAATGCAAGCGAAAACATGTTGAGGTCAGCTCGTAACAAACTCGTTAATCGAGGGAGTGCTCGTTAACCAAACTTAAGAATCTTATGGAAGGTAAATCGTTAACCGAAATCTCGTTAACCGAGGGACCACTGTAGTGGAATCAAAATTTTCTCCGAAAATCCGGCTTTGGGAACGATTTTCTGAGGGGCACATTTTCCAGAAAATTTAGAGAAAATTTTCCCAATACCCTGAAATTCCGGGGATGGGGGAGTTTTTTCCGGGTTTGAGAGATGAAAATCAGGTGCATTTTCTAGAAATTCTGAGAAAAACTTTCCGTTACCCGGAAAATTCTGGGGATGGGGGATATGTTTCTGGGTTCGAGAGGTGATGCAATGGGTAATTTCTGGAGCTTCCAAGAAAATTTTCCGTTACCCGGAAAATTCCGGGGTTGAGGGATTTTTTTCCGGCTTTGAGAGAGTCGTCTCGTTACCCGGAAATCTCTCATTCCCGGAAGTGCTCTGTACCAATTGTTCCGGCTAACTGGGATATCACTGTATTTAGTGGCTCTCCGTTGGTGCACGCCGATTTACACCACCATCTGAATTTCGACCTTGATTGGAACTGGTTTTAAGAAATTGCCAGCACACTCCTGCTTAGGGATTTTATTTTGGCTAACTCCAGGTGATTATATTCATCTGAGAGAAACCCCTGCCCTCTAAAGGGTTCATGGATTATCCTGATGCCTTTAGTTGACTAACAGGAATAGATTTTTAAAGATGAGCAAAGCATTTTTGTGATGTCATACATCAAATAGTAGCGACACAGTTTACAGATTTTATAAACATTAATGTATATTCATAATTAACAGGTACACAAACTAAGTGAACAGCTGAGTGAGGTGAGCCGAGCTAAGTGTGAAGCTGTGATCCAGGCAGAGGAAGCACACAGTCAGGAGATGCAAATGAAGTACAGGTCAGTTTCTAGGTTTATGCACATGTCATCTTGCATTTAGTTTAGAAATGAACTTAGGCAACAGGGAAAACTTGAGATAAAATTTCATATTTGCTGGATGCATTCATTATTTTTTATACTGTAGTATGTATATTGCTTTGTCTTAATCCCTTCACGACGTTGATGACACTTTTAACATTTTATTTGGCTAACTCATGATGATTTCATTCTGCACATAGACAACCCTGTACACAAGTGGTTAGTAGATTATTTCCCCTAACTGCTTCACTACGATGATGCCACTTTTAATATTTTATTTGGCAAATGCCAGACAATAATATTCAGCAGAGAGAGGACCTTGTACATAAGTGATTAAAGCTTTGACATGCTGGGCATTTTGTTATTCAAGGTAAAGGTGACTTGTTCAGCTAGCTACTTTGCCTTCATTCTTATTTCTTTATAACAATATTGACCAAAAGTTGGATAGAGCGATTAATATTTATTATTCTATATTAAAGATATTTCGCCCTTTCTTTTTCAGTGACCTGAATGGGTTTCTTGTTAAAGGTGGTGAGAATCTGTACAAAGACTATTATTTTCTGTGATTTTTACAGAGAAAAGAGATTGGAACAAGAGCATGGTTTACTATCACGCCAGATGGGGGTCTTACAACACCAGCTGGAGCTGAGAGCAGAGGAAAGTCTCAACCAGCGCCGTGAACATTCCAGCATTATTCTTGGTCTTCAAACTGATGTCAATCATAAAACAGAAGAGGTAAATTAAGATACTGTTTTATGGTTTAAAGAAACAGAGAAAGAGGAAAAATGATATTAGACTATAGGATGCTCCTTAGAGAACTTTGGAAAAGCATTGATGTGTTACAGGTTAATGTTTAGTAACAGTATCAAGGTCATTGTGAATTGACCTTAAGCCAAATTAATTGACTCACCTTAGATAAGGTTGGTTCAAATTGCTCCAATAATAGATATTTATACGTGGCTTAAAAAGTAAAGTGACTATCGTACAATGCATCTGGTTTAAACCAATGGTTCATCTGACTTACACTGACACAGTTGACTAAGAATGTCATTATTGTACATTATTACCTGGCCCATTAGTTTGGTGGCTATACAGGTACTTTTATAATGAAGTGATGGCAGTCTTACAGAACAAGTCTTTATCCCTCCCCAGCCATAAAATGAGACTACAGTACATAAGCTTCCCCATTGTTTCTTGGGTTTTAATGAATGGACAATCAGACATCCATTGGTGTGAAGTTATGTCATAGTAAGGTATATCCAGAAAAGACTTGCTTATTTGGTGTTTTGTTTTACAGGTGCGTGTACTGAAAGAAGAGAAAGCCCAGCTAGAAAAACAACTAGAGGAGAAATCTAAAAAGATTCAGGAGTTGCTTGACACTCTGAATGCTTCCCGAGAATCAGAGGTAAAACTGGAGGAAGCTTTCCGCCAAGAACTATCTGCACAAAAGAAGCTCACAGATATATATCAAGGTAAGGGGTTGTAAGGTTGGCTGTCATGTACTTTTGTACTGTTTTATTGTACAGTACATGTAACTAATGAAGTTGACTATAAAACCCAAACAGCAAACCATTAGCTATTAGTGATGTTTAAGGTGACAGATCCAGTACTCTGTTCATGAATTTTCCTCTTAGCATCTCCCATGAAGCCTACCCACGGTGTGTAGGCTAGTAAGGGTTGCTGTGTGGTTGGTTACCTATAAAACTGGCTATTTAGGGAGTTCATAGCCAATACATAGCCCAAGAGGCAATGTCACCTCAAGCTGCACATTATTGTTAACTTGTCATTTTTTACCTTCAGTAAGTGATACCATTTTCTTGAATACAGTATTGGTGTAAGAACCAACTATATGTAACAATGTTTTTTAATGATGTTTTTAGATGATACAGTTACATGCTGTGAACTATTTGCCATGCATATAATGTTTAAGTCCGAGTCCACATCTTGATTACTGACAAAAGACTTATGATTAAAGGATAACAATAATTAGTATTTTAGTTCTGCAGTGCTTGTTATGCAATTTTTTTATATAATAACCTTTCCCTTTTTATTTGTTTTATTTATTTATTTTTGCAATCCCTAGTGTCTCTCATTAAGTTTTTATTTTAGCATCAACACAGAATGAGAAAGAACGAGCTGCTGAACTGGAGAATGGTGTTGAGGAGCTTCGTAAACTGTTGCAAGAAGCCAGTGATCAGTATGGAGCCTTGGAGAGTACAAAAAACAAGGCTGATGAAGAACATGAGCAAGCTTTACGTCAGTCAAATTTACTGGTTAAAGACCTGAAGGAAGAATTGGAGAAGGTTAACATGTTGCTTGAAGCAAATGCTAAGAAAGGTACCATCAGATAAATCAGATAATTGGTTGTCAATACTGTGTGTGTGTGTGTGTGTATATATACACAATATATATATATACAGTAAGATCTTGTATTTCGTGAGTAATATAGACTGGATAAATTGCACCAAATTCAAATTTGCCAAATGCAAATACATAAACTAATGGGAAAAATAACAATATAGACTGGCCACTCTACATCAACCTCTGATTTTCCCATGTATACCCTCCAAATGATACAAATTCTGCCTTTATTGACCTGATTGTGCTTTCCGGAAAACCAGTAATCTTTCTTATCTCACTAGTTTTCAGGCCTTCCTCAAGTAACTTAATCACACGCTGCTTATCCTGTATCGAGTACTTGGCAAACTTAACTCCCTTACAATAGGCCCGCTTCTCCTTTTCCTTATTTGGCCGCTTAGGTAGGACTGTCCCACCCTCACCATCACCAGTAGGACCCCCAGTAGAGGTAGAGGCCATTTTCGTGACTCGACATGTGGTAGCACCACCAAAGAAAGCAAACAATAACAGCCCGGGCAACTGGTAGGATGGCGCGGGAGTAACTGGTATGAGGGCTGTGATGTCATACAACCCAGTATTTATGTATTTTACTTTTTGTAATTATATTTATTTTGCTTATTATAATTATATTTATTTACTGTATTCTTCACATATACTGGTACAGTATAAAGGCGACACATTTCACCCGGGCAGTCCTGAAACTGATTCAAGAGAAATGCGTGGCTGCTGCCTGTATGCCCTGACGTCACACGGGGGGAGGGAGTGTGCTGCTGGCCAGTTACCAAAAAAACTGACTTATGCTGCAACATAAAATATTACAGCGTTCAGCTGGCTGGATCTCGCGAAACTCACGATATTTTACGCCAAATATAAGACTTGGTTACATTAGGTAGTGCTCGCGAAATATGAAATCTTACTGTATGCGAATAAGCATTGCTATATTTTTTCTTAACTAAGATAATTAGTGATCTTGTGTTTGGAAGTAATTAATTAGGTTAGATGTTATGTGACATATGGGAACTATAGATAGACCTTGAAATAAACAAGATTATTCCCAATCTTCTTTTACACAGGTCATGGAGGTTATGAGGAGCTGTCACCAGCAGCAAATGCAGCAAGCCAGCTAGTTAGTCGAGGTTTAAGCCTCACACAGCTCTACTCGGAATACCTTAGTGTCTCGGAGAAATTCATGGCAACTGAGGAAGAAAACAAACGCCTTAAGCGTTACGTTGATCAAATCCTTCAGGTAATTTAAAATATTAATAGCACCATAGATCAGCAGGTGTACCAGAATATATACTAAAAAGTTTAAACTTTGATAATTTGATCACATACATGTACTGGCTGGACATAATCATGCTTAGGGGATAAATTGAAATTATTGAAGATTTTCATTGGCTGCTGTTTACTCTACGGCACCAGACTTTGGTCCCTCATATTTTTTAAATAAATGTTTTGGAATTAAGTGGTCTTAGTAATGGTTAAAGAAAATTAAACATTGTAGATGATAGGAGAATACTAAAGGGTGTCATAATGATCAGAATGTTCTAAAAAAATTATAAAATGGTTAGAGAATATTAAAGGATGTCTTGATTGGTTAGAGCATATTAAAGGATGTAAATAGAGAAAAGTAAGGGATGTCAAATGGTCAGCAAATACTAAAGGATGACAGAATAGGAAACCCAAGAGATGTCACAAATAGAGTCAGAATGTGTACGTGAGCGAGGTGGACCTGACAGTGTGAACAAGAGTACATTTAAATAAAGGAGAATAGTGTTGGGGAGTACAAAGGTACAATATTTTGAGAATATTATGACATTTAGCACAAGTTCAACATACTGTACTTTGTTTTTCCATAGGAAATAGAGGAACGAGTTCCAGTATTAAAAAAGCAACGTGACGATCATCAGAGGTCACTAGAAACAATTACTTCCCTCCATGCCCAGCTGGATGAGGCTCTCGTGGAATTAGAAAAACGGGTAAGCTAATTTGACTTTGTTTTGTGTGTGAGCTAGTAAACCCTCGCCCAGCGCAGGGGTTAGGTTCCTCGAAAATTGGATTTTGGGCAAACTATACTTCTCATGGGAAAATGGGTTGGCAAGATCGTGGCCGCATATGGACTCTTATCACGTGAAATGCATAATTTTTAAACATTTACATAATGCAAAAATATGATAATAATAGAACTAACATACAGTAAAGCCCCGAATAACGACGGTAATGTGTGTTCCAATATTGCAGTGAATCATCGTATCGTGAATCATTAATTACCATTAAAATAAAGCAATAATAATGAGTTATGTTCCCCAGTGTGACCTTTTCATATCTTTTGTGTGGCATTTTACCCTCTTTTCCCCCAAAAAACAATACAATTAATGAACATTGCAAACTATATTCTTTAAATAATGTTTCTGAATGCACCTTATACAGTACAGTATAAATGAATAATAATATGGTCACACTAGGAGACGGGATGCCATTGTTTTCGTTAATGTTTACAGCCGGGAGTCCGGGATGATAGTTCTACACGGGAAAATGAAGAAAATAAGACCCTAGTTGTAGCTGTAAAAAAATTAATATACAGTGGTCCCTCGGTTAACGAACACAGAGTCGTTCGTTAACCGATTCCATTGTTTCAATGGGATATTGGGTAATTGGTTCCAGTTCACAGAAAAGTACATACAAAGTAAAAAAAAAATTGCAGTAAAGTATACTTACTTTGAGGTGTGTATGTAGAAGGTTCCTGGTTGATGATGATGATGGGAATTAGAAGTGGGGGTGAAAGAGAAGGGAGAAGAGAAGGAAGTAGGGATGGAAGAGAAATCACCTTTCAGTAATTTCACCAATAAAATTTTAAGTTCACTAGGTGTGATTCAAGATTATTTTATTTAAATCAACACTGCACTGCATTATATTTTATCAATATGTTAACTAAATTTCAGAATGACCAATAATTGTAATGTAAAAATGCAAAAATATTCAAAGACACCAAGAAAATCGATGTTCACTCCACTGTAAACAAAGCCAAACTGACGCCTGGTGGGTGAGTCAAGCAGCTGATGGGAGCACAAAAAACTAGTTCCCTGTACTGCATATATTATCAATATGTTAACAACTAAATTTTAAAATGACTAATAATTTTAATATAAAAAATGCAAAAATACCCCCTGTACAGTATTAAAGAGCACGACTTTCTTGATATTTACTCCACTGGAAACGAATGTAAATATAGAACAGATTACTGAATTGGCAGACTAGCCCATCAGCTGATGCTCACAACAAAACGTGTTTGTCGTAAGGATTTCGTTAATCGAAGTTTTGTTTGTTAACCGAATTGAAGATCCTTATGGGAGGTAATTCGTCAACCGAAATTTTGTTAATCGAACCGTTCGTTAACAGAGTGACCACTGTATATGTTTTAAGTAATGTTATTTGATATTAATAAATGGAACAATAGAAGTAGCTAACCACTAATGGCAAAAAAAATGAGATGGATTGGGAACGCCAACATATACGTGCGCATTTAAGGATACCGCGTCATTTATCTTATTAAGAATATGCACTAAAGATTCATTATTGTTTATTACTGAATATGTATTTGATTGAATTAATCTTTTTATGTGCAAAATGATCAATACAATTCATTAATGATCCGTAGAATATTAAAACACACATAAGGTCAGTTATCCACCTGAAACTGAAGAAAATAAGACCCTGGTTGTTGTAGTCAAATTATTGTAAGAAATGTGTATGTTTTAATTAATGTCATTTATGTGCAGTAAAAGTAGCCACTGATATTAAAGACAAAAGTGAGAAACTGATAGTGGAACGCCAATGTATACGTGCGAACTCAAGGAAACAGTGTCATTTATCTTAAGAATATGTACAAAAGATTCATTATTGTTTATTACTGAATATGTATTTGATTGAATTAATGTTTGTATATGTGAAATGAACAGTGCAATTCATTAATAATATGTAGAATATTAAAACACACGAGGAGACAAGACGGCATTGTTTTCGTGACTGACGATGGTTCTACATAAGAAACTGAAGAAAATAAGACCCTGGTTATAGCTGTAGTGAATTTAATGTAAAAAAATTTAATACCTGTACGTAGCTAACCACTAATTGTAAAGAAATAAAGCAAGACTATTGGGAACGCCAACGTATGTACAGTAAGTGCGTACATGTGAAAACATATCATTTCTTTGCATATGAATATGAAAGCAACACTTATTTACTGTTCATATATGTTTTAAATAATACTTAAGAATGTAAAACAAAAATTCTACTCGCCATTAGTGGTAAAGTCTAAAACATAAGGGCAGCCAATAATGTTGTGCGAGTATTTACTCAGATGACTAAGTCATCAGGTTCAACTCTGGCTGAAGCTGTAGCTTTCCATAAAGCTGTTGCTGAAACTGTTACTGAACCTGAAGTTGTTGTTGAAGCTGCTTATGATGCTGATGTTGATGGTTTAGGCCTTCGAATAATAAAGCTGTTGAAAGAACCTTGCACAGCTGCTTCCTTTTCTCATAATACATCTTTATGTAGAGGTCATTTGCATTTATTTAAATTTTAATGCTTTGTTCTGTTAATGGATCCACTTCAGAAAATATGTTCATTGCTTGCTCCATATAATATCCACAGACCTCTCACCTTTTTCATATCGTTTTAACACATTTAGTTTCTCGGCTAAGCTTGTACACTTTCTTTTAGTTTTTGAAGCAGCACTTGCTCTCCTGCCCATGTTGAATAGGGATGCAAAAATGCTGTAAGAAACCTGAGAAAGTTTTTCTCCTTTTCCTGTTCAGATGCGTGAACACAAAGGGCCCGCCAGCTGCAATTGTTTATACTAGTGATGCTGGTGTCACTACTAACAAGCCTTGCAGCCTCCGTGCGCAAGGCGTGCTTTTTTTAATAATATCGGGATTTAATTATTATTTATACGAAAATGTAATATATATTTTTTTTTGTAAATACGAAGAAAATAATGGTGTAAATTGAATCGGGTCCTAAATTAACCAGGGTCTTCGATATGAATCTTTGTTAGTTGAACCGTCGTTATCGGAGGCTTTACTGTACTATAAAAAAATAAAAGTATTATAAAATCATTTTACTGTACTCACTGATCCATGGTAAGATGATTGTAGCTTAACTGATGACATTGATATTGTAGATGTTGTGAATAATTATTATTATTAGATGTTGTGAAGCCTTCTGATGACTGTGAATGATGAAGACTTCGATGACGATGAAACTGGAATGATTTTTATTTCCTAAGTCGATGGCTCATCAAGATCATCGGCATCAAGCTCCAGATCTGCAGATGATGATGGTTGGAGTTTTCACGGGCAAACATTACTACACGTGCTCCGTCACATAGCCGATCTAAAATCTTTATTTTCTAGGCTAATGTCATTGCTTTTCTACTTTCTTGGTTATGCTATCACCACTAGCATCACCTCTTCATTTGGGGGCCATACTGCAAGGGCAGACACACAAAGCAATGCAAAAACACCAAAAAGTTCCAAAACCACTTTGGTTCAGTGTTGACGGTACTAGTGTGTAAGCTAGACTGGCAGGCATCTCCAACTGGAGCAGGCTGAGGCAGAGTGGAGGAGGAACGTGGAGGCAGCATGCTGTTAACCCACTTATATTCAAATTTTCTGTGTGGGCAAATTATTTGGTCTCATATATTTAAATGCTTATAGTCAGAATTGCGTTGGGCGAGAGTTCACTGTACTGGCTTTGTAGAAGAGGTAGTGCAACATCAAGAGTAAGTTAAGCAATGTTGGTGGAAGGTTTACTCTATATGGAGAACATGAATAAATTTTCAATCATTTGGAAAGTAATTTCAACTTAAAATACTCTGATAAAGGTCTTAACACACATGGAGTACAGTATGTATTTTGCATGGGGGGGGGGGGGAAGACAAACAAACTATTGAAGTAACTAGTGGTGCATAGAAAGACAATTACTGTATTTTCCATCTGAAACATGCTGTACATACAAAGACTTGGTATTTTTGAGAAGAACTTTATGATGGCTGAGCCTTTGATACACAAGGCGATTTCAAGATAAGTTGTATATTACAATAACCTTTATTCTCTACAGAGATTGGAAGCAGATGAAGCTCGCAGACGAACAAACTACCTTGAACGGGAAAATAAGCGACTGGATGGTCAGATGAGGGATCTTAGCAAACAGGTGACCATTCTGGTGTCCCAAGTTGAGGCAGCAAGAGCAGGGCTTCCTCCACCTCCTATTCCAAGTATGTCTGAGATTTATTTATTCCTGTTTGAGTTTTGGTTCTTTTATGTAGCTGAAAATAGTTCCCAAATGACCTCATTATTAAAGATGTTAAACACCACCAAAAAAATTTACTTGTGTTGTAAACCACAATTTCTTTCACTAAGTGGGGAATAAATATTTTTAATCCTCATATATTTATCTCAATATCTATAGTGTCAGTGTATTTTAATGTGGTTTACAGTACAGTATAGTGTAAGTGCATCAGCAAGGGCCTTTAATATTATTTAGTGCACCATTTGATAAATTTTGGTATTTCTTTTATCAATTATATACTTTTGTTTTACTTGTTAGATCTCTGGCCAAATGCTTGGAAATAGATGCTACTCAGTTTTGATTTTGGTTTCCACTCAGAAACTTCCCATAGACTCAGTGTATTGTTCATAATTTTAATGAAAAGGTTTATTGCAGTAGGTTGGGTGTATTGGGTGTGTAGCTTGTCATGGTCATTTTAAAGTTGTGATTGTTTTCACCATCTTAGACATGTGAATGTGTGAAAATTTTATTTATATTTGACCACAATTTCAGAAGACACCTCCAGGAGTCCAACTGTTGCTGGAGATGTTATTTCCCAACGCTTAGTTGCCTTTAGAGACATTGCCGAGTTACAAGAGCAGAACAATAACTTACGTGTCTCTTTAAGGGATTTGTCAGAGCAGATGGAAGCTGTACAGCACACTGCTGTAGATGCAAAAACTAAAGAACTTCAGGTAACTAACTCAACAACTGGATTTCAGGCATCAAGTCTTATTTCCATTTGACTTGCTATAAGCCATTTAGAGAAAGGAAGGTAAATGAATCAGCTAGCATCAGGTTTGGTTATTGAAAGGGATTTCAAGATTGATCCTCTCTAACATAATGCCTTGCAGCTATGCAGTGTAAAAGAAGCCAATTGGAAATTGGGAGGAAATAGTACTATGAATGATCCAAATCCTTATAGGCCACAGAGGAGCTCTTAATTTAGTAATACCCTGAGTTATAATTTATTAACTTTATTTATCAGAAGTGTGTGATGGTATGGTACAGAAGTGTGTGATGGTATCATGGTACAGAAGTGTGTGATGGTATCATGGTACAGAAGTGTGTGATGGTATCATGGTTCAGAAGTGTGTGATGGTATCATGGTACAGAAGTGTGTGATGGTATCATGGTACAGAAGTGTGTGATGGTATCATGGTACAGAAGTGTGTGATGGTATCATGGTACAGAAGTGTGTGATGGTATCATGGTACAGAAGTGTGTGATGGTATCATGGTACAGAAGTGTGTGATGGTATCATGGTACAAAGGTGTGAGATGGGCCTGTGGTTTTCAAGATGGTCACAAAAATATAAATGCTCATGCATTATAGTTTTTTAAATGGTTTTATTGTAATCTTAATGTAACCTTGTATTTTAATGATGAGGATGGTGATCTTAGTCTCCCACAGTTTTCCTCATGGATGTGTAAGGCAAGATTTTTATAAATCTTGTAATTAGATACAGAGCTCAGTTATTAGTGAAATAACTGAAAGAGTCTTATTATGTTTCTCATCTTATCAATGATGGTAGATTAAATTTAAGTGATTGTGAACTTGAACCTTAGAAGAAATTATAACCTTGGTTTAATTGCAGCAAGTGGAAATTCCTCATGAAATAGGGAGGATTTTATTTGATTCATACAAATTTGTTGTCATTTTTTCTACTGCCTTGTTTATGCATGTAAAATGCATAGAATCTAATCATTCCCCCACTCACTGTACCCCTTCCCCTCACACACACACACACACACACACACTGTTCCCCATCTCAGACTTGAATCATTTTCTTAGTTTGATACTTTGTGTTGCTTTGTGTTTGTCACCTATTTTTTTCTACATTTAAAGAAAGGATCAAGAGTAAATGCAGACTGCTATAGGATATAGTTGGTAGCAGTAACAACTACAGCTAAGGTTATCCCAATTCTGAAATTTTGCATCAATTACTGTACTAATGTTCATCATTGTTACCAGGAGGAACTTGAATCAGCCAAGGCACAGTTAAAGGACTTATCTGCAGCTCGAGAACGACAAGAAACAATGATGGAAAACCTTGTACATCAACGTGACATGTACCGCACTCTTCTGTCCCAACAGACACCAAAGACTCCAGGTGTAAGTATGCTAATTTAAATACTCTTTGATTTATTGGGGAAGTTTAGTTCTATGTTAATGAGTACACCTGTGTACTTCAAAGGCGGTGATCGGTTGATTTTTTCTCTACATTTGAGTTTTTGTTGTCATCTTGGGCAAGGGAAGTTATAAAACAGTGAATTCACTTCGAGTTTATTATAGTGTTGTGTCCGTATGATTTGCTATAAATTTTGTTTTTGATATGTGGAATTGGTAAAGCATGTAGGGTATCAAAATTTTGTTCTCTGAATATTATTGACATGAATGGAAAATTCTAAAAACTGGTACACTTAAAACAGTTTTTCATAGTCTTTTTAATTGACACCAGTAACCAGTCTTACCACCAAGCCTTGAAACAAACACCATGTACTGGACCATATGGGGAGTGAAAGATAAATAAAAGCAGTAGTGTGTGTGTGTGTGTATAAATAAGTGGAGAGTTTGTTGCTTTGTGATTTTTAGGAAAGGACATGCTACTAGTGGGTGATGCTGTCTCTTGTGAAGTCAGGGGTAAACCAGATTTGGGAGGGGGACATTGTTGTGGAAGGGGGGGGGGGTACCATTTCAGAGCACATTCATTTTATTAAGAATAACTGAATGATGGGAGAGTGTGTGTTGTGTATCTGCCCATGTTTTTGGCCACCATGCATTCAGTAGGAAAAGTCCTCTAAATATTTTTATTGTAATTAACATGTTTTTCACGTGAATTCTTTCTTCCACATCATAATTTGAGGTATCATCTCGAACAAAATTTGTACTCTATTCATATTTTTATTTTCTCATATTGAATCACATATATGTTGAATTTAATGATATGAGGAGATATTCAGTCTAATACATCAGTTTGTTTGAGGTTTTGTATGATATTAATTTATTTGAAGCTCTTACACCAACACAGTTTAGTAAAAATTTCATCTCAATCACTCAGAAACCTGTTCCACCAAGCCAGACTCCACAGCCATCTGGGGAGGTCTCTCAACAGGAGATCAAGAAGGCTCATGGAGAATTAGAGAAGGCAAAGAAAGAGATAAATACCATAAAGAAGGAGCATGAGGATTACCGGGCAGAAAGGCTTAAGAATGAGAAGATGATGCAGAGTGATTATGATAGTCTCAGAGCCACTATGGAAAAAACAAGGTGAGTCCGAGAGCCTCTGTGGGGGAGACTCAGAGCCACTATGGAAAAAACAAGGTGAGTCCGAGAGCCTCTGTGGGGGAGAAAAAAATTCCAAAGCTACATTAGAAAAGAGCAGAATGAGTCGTAGTACCACTGTAGATAAACATACAAGGCGAGTCCCAGAGCCACTATGGGAAAAAAATACAAGGCGAGTCTCAGAGCCACTATGGAAAAAAATTCAAGGTGTCTTGGAACCACAATGGAAAAAACAAATGAGAATTTTTTTTTAATACCTGTAACTTTTGATTTATTGTTGAATATATAAAAACATTCACTGTGCGAAGCATAAAACACAGCTGCAAGAGGAAGAAGCAAGTTGGAAGTGACTGAAATGTTATGCATCAGAAAATATTATGGTGTAAAATGCTGTATGAGGCAGAATAAGGAATATAACTAGAAGATGATGTAGGGGTGAAAGGAGTGAAGAGCAGAGAGCTGACTTGGATATGCTTAGTTGGTATGAGTATGTTGAGAGTGGGTGCTTAAAAATTGGTAAAAAAATGTTATGATTTAGGTGTGGATTGTAGGCAAGAGATGGGAAGACCAAGAGTAATGTGGAAGGATGGGGTAAGGGAAACTACTAGATAGAAGGGAGTGGACTGCACTTACAGGTAGCAGCAATGTGTGTGTGTGTGATTGACCAGAAAGCTCGACATCAAATGATTTGGGTAATGGACATGCTACTGGTGGATGATGTTAAAGTGTGTGAAGTGTTGGGGATAAGCCAGATAGGTAACCTACATGGGAATCTTTTGTGGGAAGGGGAAATAATGTCATGCGTCTGACACGTTTATGCCATCATGATTTACCAGTAACATTTGTTTTCATTGTTCTTTCTTTATCTCACTCAGGAATCAGAACATTAAGCTTGTATCTCAGGCAGAATATAATGACGAGAGGATCAAGACGCTGCAGAATAATAATGAGGTCTTGCAGCGGCAAATTGCATCCTTGGAGAAGAATAATACTACTTTACAAGGTGCGGTCATGAATAAATTCTTTCAGTTTGTTTGGTATCTGCTAACTGTGTTTCACTAAGGAGGCTGAAAAATAAAAGAAAATTATTTGCTAAAGGGAAGAGCATTGAAATTGGCTGTTTTTCACATAGTCTTTGTTTAGAGTACATCCCTCTGTGGTAAATAACAAAGATTTTCCCCCAGGCATTGTTGGCCGCCATGAGGGTTCAATAGAGACACTTCGTAGTGAATACATGTCTCTGCAGAAGAAATTATCACGGGCTGAAGTTACTGTAGAAAACCTTCGAGAAGAAAAAACTTTGCTTAAGGTCTGTTGGTATCATGATTGGATTATTCGTATATTTATTTGTGATTAATATGCTGTATCCTTTAAATTTGTGTTGCATAGGCGAGAAAGTTAATGAATTCAAATATCCTCTTGAGACTTTTGTAATAAAGAATTTCTTGTATGAATTGTAAAACAGTATAGTATATATTTCAGGAATCAGAAGCGAGACTTCTGGCAGAGCGAGAATCTCTTAATCAAGGACAGATGTCTCAAGCAATGGTACTTGCCAATCTAGAAAGTATAAAAATCAATTTGGAACGCAGAGACTCTGATGGGAAGATGAGATATGAAAACCAGGTTGCTACACTGACTGAGCAGGTCTGCCGCCTCAAGGCCAAATTAGCTTCAAATTCTGATCTTAGAGCAGCAGAAAATAAGTACGTACAATTGGGCGTTATGTAAAGAGTGTTGTATTGAATGTTTTATTAATATTATTATTATTATAGGACCTACATGCATGTATAAAAACTAGATATATTATTATTAACAGGAATTACTTGGAATGGTTAATGTTAAATTTTTTATTTGTTTAAAGGATAATTTTAAAGTTGCGAATTTGTTTTTATCATGTTGCATAGAGTGAGTGAACTAGAAGGACGTATTCGTGCCATGCACACTGAACATTCATCCACCACCAAGCAGTTGCTGGAAGTAAGAGCTGAATTATCAGCCACTAAGTCACGAATGAATGACCTCCAAGAGAGAGCAAGAGTTATACCATCACCAGGACCTAGAGCAAGAGGTTAGTAAGATATATAATGAGAGTGTTTGACCTTAGTTACGGTAGGTGTTATTTAAGTGTTTGTGTTGAAAAGCTTGCCACTGGCTCAATATTTACACTGATGAATTCTAACTTTAGTAACTTGGTACATTTTCAAGTTGACTGGTTGTGCTGCTTTTATGATCTGATGCTTGTCCCAGACAACTCATGTAGTGTTCACACAAGTGTATGAGGTCAGTGCCCAGATATAGAATATGATGATTAGTACTAATCCATTGATAAGTTTTTTAACATCCTGAACTTAAATTTAAGCCAAAGGTCCATGACAGTTTCAGTAAACATATCATTAAAGTGTTCAGAGGAATTATGTATTCAGATGTTTCCAGAGCATTTATGTTTGGCATTCTGTCCATGTATTGCCCTACAGAAGATATTGAAACTACTGTACGTATATATGAGTTAAAATTTTCTTGACTGTTATTATGGTGAGAGTAGTGAAAGAAAAAGTTCATATTGGAATGTTGTTTTCAAGGTAAATATAGCCGATGATATAAAGCATGCGTGAAAAGTTCCTGGAGACAGTGGAGAATGATTTATGGCTGGAGAAAATACTTAGGATAGGTTAGATAGAAAAGTGGCTTGAGAAGCACTGAAAATGTATGTAAATGAAAGACTGTTGGATCACGTAAAGATTAGGCAGCCTTGCTTATTTCACCCGAAGATTAACCGCCTGAATGTTAGCCTCCAGGTAGCAATAAAGTATTTAATCATTGAGTGAAATAAGCGTGATCCTAAATTGTTTAATGCTATCCACAATGTTTAAAGGGAGAGTAAAACATGTGTGAGGAGTTTCTGGGAAGGGGTAAATTGTTTTCTTGTGAAAGTAACACAACATCAAGAATGTGAAATGTCGCCATGTTTGTTAGATATTCAGTGAGTTCTTATTTTGTTGTGTGTCTTATGTATGTTTATAAACTATGTGATGCAGGTACCAGCCCCATGAGAGGTGCAATGCCATTCCGCATGGCAGGACCTTCACCACAGGTTCGTGATTTGGAGATGCAGCTGGTGGAGGAGAAAGCTAAAGTGAACTCACTTCAGGGTGCTCTTGACCATTCTAAGCGCTTTGAGAAGGAATTGCTGGAGCTCAACAAAAAGCATGAAGCTCAGTTAGCAGAGTCAAATGAAGCTTGCAAGACTGCCAATGAAGAGTAAGTGGTACAAACTTTGTTATTCCAGTAATAACTAAAATAAACTTGGCTGAGTAACATTATTGAAAATGTGGTAAACTTTATTCTGTGGTGCAACATTCAGTTGCCTCTCTTTTTTTTTCTTTTTTTTTTCTTTTACCAGCCAAGACTGGCTATACGTATACTGTAAGTGTCTTGATACTAAGATATGCTAGTTCAGTTGAGTAGGACATAACTGTTAATTTAGGATCACGCAGACTTAAAATAAACTTTTTAGTCCAACTTGCTATAAATTGCTTGTTGCCTTACTAGAAGGTACCTGCAGTGCCTTTAAACCAGCATGACAATGACATGTGTAAACTTTTGAGTTATGTATTGTGGTGGAGGAAGGGACAATGATGTCCATATTTAAATTTACTGCATAGGGATGAAGCTCTGTAAATCCCATCCAGCATTGAATTTCCCCAATTATGATTACTGTATCAAAATCTTGGTGCATCATCTAATATACTGTACTGTACACTGTTCTCAATATCAATATGTACAGTTATCTGGATCTACACATTGAAACTACAGTACAGTATGTATTTTTTCGAGTGTTGCGATAATAGTGTTTTACCTCTTTTTTTTTTTTTTTACTCAGATATGCCAAGTTGCAGAAAGAGCTACAAGCAACAGAGGCAGAGCTGACAAAATTGGAGAGTCAGTTGAGGGATGCCATAGAAGAGGGTGAGACTGCCAAGACTTTATTGAAATCAAAATTGGCCAAGGTAATTTACTTCCTCTTGTCCTGTCCTTTGTGCCCTCACCTGTTTCTGGAATTGTGCCTTATATAGAACTTCCCATACAACATGATCTTCTTACTCTCACAGATTCCTATGATTAGACCTGTGTTACAACATCTAGAAACTAGTCTCTTCAATGTAAAAACCTGAAAAACAAGGTTAAGATTGCTGAAATGATATAGTTACCAGAATTTTCTTCATAAATACATGGTGATTTGCAGTTTTACACTCAGATAGTATGGAAAATGTTATTGCCAGTACAGAGAACCATTGACCTGTCTGTGTGCCTGCATGAGTGGCTACAGGAGAACACCCTTAATCCCTTATGTATCATCTACAACCTGTGCTTTATACATGCAGATGTACTCTAGCAAGGATTCACTTTTCAGTCTTGGGTAACACTGGTTTGGACTTATTTTTTTGCAAGTGTGGTGCTCCACTGTCTTTCTCCCCAATAGTACCCATAAGGTGTTTCCAATTGTTAATTTTAAAAATTGGTTTGAATTTTATCTTATTTTTTCTCTGTTCAGGAATTTTTCTGTTTCTTTTCACTTTTATTATGTTTCTGAATGATTTTGTTTTCCAATTAATTTAAAAATTAATTAAATATTACTTATTATAGAAATGATGATTTATTAACTAAAGATACTACAATAAATTGTACATAGGTTCAAAATATTCTGATAAAGGTATTGTTTGTATAACTCATGTCCAAATTCAGGGTGGTGCCTAGGATTAGGTTTAAAGCTGCATCAACAGTACAGTAGTTCCAAAAGGCAGAGTGGCTACTGCACTAGGTCTTTGAAATTTGAAATCTTCTTCTCCCTCTCCAATTGCTCCGCACCTCTTTTGTATTAATCAAACATGCTAAATTGTTATTCATTGATGAACTGGTAATATTTGACAGACTGAAGATGAGCTGCAAGTGTGTAGGAAGCAGCTGAGTGATGTAAATGAAGCCCTTGAGAAAGCCAAGGAAGATGAAGAAAAATCCAGGAAGGAGGCTCAAGAACATTCCAGGTGAGTTGAATATAATGTGCCATACTGTACAGTAATATCCCTGTCAGCCGTAACAATTGATGTAGAGTGTTTCCAGGTAGTGTATTGAGATGAAATTATCTTATCCCCAGAATAAATTGCACAGCTACAGAATTTTTCCAGGCGTTGCTGAATATTTCCGCATCAAAACTACGCATCTGGCATGGAACACTGTTGCTATGGAGGCTTAACTTAAGCCAGAGTGACAGAGCCATATTTATTTATGCAAATAACTACTGTACACGTACAGTACCGAATACCCTTGCAAATTGGACTGGGATCCATCATTGGACTCGTGTATCCCCAACTTTGACAAATGCGACCATAATTTGGTTAATACATGAGATAAGTTTTTATAAGCAGGGGCTGCTACTGTGGTGGCACAGAAGGGTAACTCAACAGGTGGTTGCAGAGGAGCACTATGGTGAAGTGTCTAAGAAATGTAATTAGTGTACAGTAGATGCAGTCAATTATATTAAAAGTGAAAACAACCTCTGTTCCACCTTCGGTGGCATTGTACATTGTGAGTTGTACAATCATTTCCTGCTTCAACCGTCTCCTCGCCTCAAGACTCGGTGGGCTCATGTAAAGTGAATAATTAATAAGTAACCATACAGTACAGCTATCTCCCGATTTATGATAGGGTTGCATTCCTGGAAACCCTAATGTGAATTGAATTAATGTAAATCAGGAGCCTTTTAACATGGATTTCAATGGGATACATTCCTGGTCTTTTCGCTAGACATATATTACAGAAAAAGCTATCCTACACTAAATAAATAAATACAATTATATTAAACAACTCTCACCACATGAGTAATAACAAGCTCAGTCTTAACCTCATAGCAATGTCTAACTTCGTTTCCAGAGACAGTCTTCTTCGAAGCCTTGGTTTTCCCATAGGCAGGAGACTCGGCAGCATACTTGCTTGCCCTTTTCAAACTTATTAATCGCTTCACACTATCAAAAATTAGCTAAATCCAAACAATAGTGTTTTTCTCTCACTGATAACAGCAAATATCACAGTGATTACAAAATTACGCAATGGTGAATAACAATATGCTGGTTACACGAGTGAGGGCAGGTGCGATCACATTGGAATACAGCACAGGTGGCATTAGGGTAGGTGAAGCTGCACAGAGGATGAAAAAGCAGTTTCTGCACAAAGTGGCCGTCTTTGATATGACAAGTAAAAGGAGAGATGCGCTTCTTCCGTGATTACATTCCGCATCAGTGAGTTTAGCCTCCCGATAGCTATCGTTAACATGGAATTTGCCTAATGTAAATCGTGAGAGGGTGTTAAAACCTGACTAACATTATTGCAGATTATCGCAAATCGAATATTTATAAATCAGGGTAGGGTATACCTGTACTTTTATTATTAACATGTACTATGTGCTTCTATGTTTTATCAACAGGTACTGTATAGTGCAGTAATAATGTGTACCATATGAAACATTCTTCTACTTTGTTCGATTCTCTTATCACTCCTTCATTTTAATAGGCCACGGCCACATGCGAAAATATTCACTGCTAGCAACACAGTGTATAAACTTTTATCCACAGTATCTGTTCTGATTGTGTTTGAAGATGAATTTGATATATTGATCCTGAATAAATTATCTATAAGATTGTTTTAATAAAAGATCCTAAAACAAAATATTTTGGCACAATTTAATGATGATGTCTGATCTTTTATGAGAAAACATAAGACATATTTATATTGGAGTCTATAAAATCAGTTCTAAATAAGTTAGAAACACCAATTTTTTACCCAAATAATCCTGAAAGGTTTATCACTTCCACAGCACCACCACAATCACCCCCCAACAGTCACATACTCAGCTCAGATGCAGTAATTAATATTTCCACTTAATTAATTATTAATGTCCTTTTAAAGTGATTGGTGAATGTTTTAGTAAATCTATCATTAAGTTATTGATATTGAAACAGTTTATTTAGCCAGAAAAATAAAGATACAGTGGGATATGCTATAACGAATCTAATTGGTTCTAGAACCTTGTTCGTTATAGCATTCGTTCGTTATAGGATTAATCCGTTCCAGGCCCCCAAATACAACCACTTAACACTGAATAATATAATATAAAATTGTAAAAATTGTAAAAAAGTGCATAAATATGCATCTAAACCCCTGAAATAAAGAATATCATTAATACTTGTAATAAAAAAACAATAAATTAGTAAAAAAAATCGTTGTAGGAGTTTCGTTCATTATAGCATTTTCAATTTTATAGGTAAAACCATTCGTTATAGGAATATTCGTAGTAGAATCCATTCGTTATAGCATACCCCACTGTACAGCGTTGATAATAATAACATTATTGATGGGGCTGATCCATTTTAGAGCCTGAGCTCTCTTAACAAAAATTTATAGTACAGTGGCCCCTCGGTTAACGAACTCAATCCGTTCCAGAAGGTCGTTCGTTAACCGAAACGTTCGTTAACCGAAACCATTGTTTCAATGGGTTTTTGGGTAATTGGTTCCAGCTCACCGAAAATTTCCTAAATTCAACAAAAATGGTAGAAAAGTTCACTTACTTTGAGGTGTGTATGTAGAAGGCTCCTGGATGATGATGATGATGATGGGATTTAGAATGGGGGTGGAGGAGAAGGAAGAAGAGAAGGCATTGTGGTGGAAGAGAAGTCACCCCATGGTGCCATTTCACCCATAAAATTTTAGCTCTCTGGTTTAATTCAAGATTATTTTCTTTAAATCAACGCTGCACTGCATTATATATTGTCAATATATAAAATATATTTCAAAATGACCAATAATTTGCTTGGAAACACAGAAAAAAAGCGTTTAGTTGAAGAGAGTCTCAAGCAAGATGTTACCTCCAGTGAAAACAGAGAGAGACTGACGCCTGTTTGCTGTGTTAAGAGGCTGGATGCCGCGCATTAAACTAGTCACTTTACCTTCAATTTTGTTCAATAATTGTTAAAATGACTAAAAAATAGAATATTAAACTTTTAAAATTATTGAATAGTATAAACTTCTTGATATTTACAAAAATAGTAAGGAATTTAAGCCCTAGAACCGATTAATGTATTGGCGGACTGATACTAAAGCTGGTTGCCCGGTCAGTGCAAGCGAAAACATGTTGAGGTCGGTTCGTAAGAAGTTCGTTAAGCGAATTTTTTTTCGTTAACCGAATTGAAGATCCTTATGGAAGGCAGTTCGTTAATCAAAATTACGTTAACCGAGGTGTTCGTTAAACGAGGGGTCACTGTACAGTAGACTCGCAACTTACGTGTATTTTTCTTACGCGGTTTCAACTATACGCGGATTACCCCGGGGGTTAGGTTACAATTTCCAATTTAAAACTAAAAATTTCAAAAATTTTACATCTAGTGGAAACTACAGTATAGCATGTACTGTATATATTCAAATTAATCTCTATCTTATAAGAATCTCAGCAATGTAAATTATATTCTCCCAGATCAGTTCAGTGACATTTTATAAGCAAAAAACAAAAACTCACTCTAAAGGACATAAATAAATAAATAAATAAATAAATAAATAAATAAATAAATAAATACTTCACTAGACCTCCCGGCACCAGCTGTCAGACACATCACCCCCCACACACACACACACACATCTTCCCAGCCAGGGTTTCGTGGTTTTAGGCTTAAAGTATTTATCTTATAAAATATCACAGACTAAAGTTAGGGGAATATAATTTGCATTGCTAGAATCCTTGCAACAGCGAATAATTTGAATATAAGCGTCATATATTTTGCACAAGAGATAAAAATTAATCACCTGTATCACATTACAGTAGTGATTTATGAGTTCTAGTGTATATATATATATATATATATATATATATATATATATATATATATATATATATATATATATATATATATATATATATATATATATATATATATATATATATATATATATATATATTGATTTAAGGGCGATTTAGGAGTGTTTTCTGGCTTTACGCGAGGTCCCGGGAACGTTACCCTTGCGTAAGTTGCGAGTCTACTGTACTGAAAATAAATTTCTTACCTTTTCTCATGATGTTTATGACTGAGTGCAGTGTGACTATGTTGATGCGGGCTGGGTTGGTGGCAAGATATTTGTTCAAATTTTAAAATAATTTTTTTCCAAAATTAGTGTCACATAACAGTAGTAGCTAATCATAGCTCACAAGCACTCTGACCCTATCCACCCATTTGGAGAGATTTTTCTCAATTTATTGGAATGCTAAAATTTTATTTTCCGGATAGTGGAAAGTTTCGGGATCGAAGATTCTGGCTAACGGGAAAATAACTTGTATATTAATACAGTGACCCCTCCGTTAACGAACTCAATCCGTCCCAGAAGGTCGTTCGTTAACCGAAACCATTGTTTCAATGGGTTTTTGGGTAATTGGTTCCAGCTCACCAAAAATTTCCTAAATTCAACAAAAATGGTAGAAAAGTTCACTTACTTTGAGGTGTATGTAGAAGGCTCCTGGATGATGATGATGATGATGATGGGATTTAGAATGGGGGTGGAGGAGAAGGAAGAAGAGAAGGTATTGGGGTGGAAGAGAAGTCACCCCATGGTGCCATTTCACCCATAAAATTTTAGCTCTCTTGGTGTAATTCAAGATTATTTTCTTTAAATCAACACTGCACTGCATTATATATTGTCAATATGTAAAATATATTTCAAAATGACCAATAATTTGCTTGGAAACACAGAAAAAAAGCGTTTAGTTGAAGAGAGTCTCAAGCAAGATGTTACCTCCAGTGAAAACAGAGAAAGACTAACTCCTGTTTGCTGTGTTAAGAGGCTGGATGCCGCGCATTAAACTAGTCACTTTACCTTCAATTATGTTCAATAATTGTTAAAATGACTAAAATATTGAATATTAAACTTTTAAAATTATTGAATAGTATAAACTTCTTGATATTTACTAAAATAGTAAGGAATTTAAGCCCTAGAACCGATTAATGTATTGGCGGACTGATACTAAAGCTGGTTGCCCAGTCAGTGCAAGCGAAAACATGTTGAGGTCAGTTCGTAAGAAGTTCGTTAAGCGAATTTTTTTTCGTTAACCGAATTGAAGATCCTTATGGAAGGCAGTTCGTTAATCGAAATTACGTTAACCGAGGTGTTCGTTAAACGAGGGGTCACTGTATATGTAATTGGAAGAATCTCTCTCTATGTCCCTCTCAGTTTTATAAAACAGCAATCTGAAATATATACTGTACAGGAGATCTCCGGGTTACGAAAGGGTTCCATTCCTGAGGACGTTCTTAAATCGCAAATGTACGTAAATCGAAACACATGCTATGTGCATGCTGTACTTACAGAACAATGTTTAAAATCCCACTATATCATAGCATAAGTCCTTATGTATATCTAAAATAAAAAATTTGTGTGAAAAGAAGAAATAGAATGACAAAATACAGTAAATAAAAGTAAAAAATAAAGTCATCAGGTAAATAAATTCTATAAATTTAAAGTTTAACCTCATTCGTATTGGCGAGCGTTTGTAAGATGGGGACCCCTGTATATACACTTTACAGAACTAACTACCTTCTGTATTTGCATATCTTATAAGAGTTTCCACTTCCCCTCTCATGCCCTCTGTCTTGTATAGTTCATCAGCAAGAAGCTATCATTACATTAAATGTGCAGATTTAAAGTACTGTACTTTGATTGTATATTTACCAAGCCAGATATTTTCCAGAATTGCAGCTGAAGTTCAAGATAAGTATGAAAGGGAAGTGATGCTCCATGGAGCTGACCTCAAGGCTTTAGCAACTCTGAAGGAGAGACAGGCAGAGTACAACACTGAACTCCAAGAAGCCACCTCAACCAAGCTGAAGGCAGAGGAAGCAGTGAGAGGTGAGATCTACAGTACAGTGGGGTATGCTATAACGAACGTAATTGGTTCCAGAACCTCGTTCGTTATAGCATTCGTTCGTTATAGGATTAATCCGTTCCAGGCCCCCAAATACAACCACCTAACACTGAAAAATTCTGTGGAAAATGTAAAAAATACGGTACTTTATCTTACCTTAGTGTTATTCAGCATGCAGGTACCCCTAAACACTGGCACATCACTATCACTTCCACTGGGAGTCTTGGCTTTAAGGTCCTCAAACAATTGTCTGGCCTTCTCACAAATTATAGCTTCACTAATGTTACCACCTGCCATTTCTTTCTCCTTTATCCACACTAAGAGTAAATTTTCCATCTCTTCAATCACATTACACTTTGCTTTGCTAAGTCTAAAGATTCCCTTTGCCACTTGCACAGTTTTTAACTCCCCTTTATTCTTCAAAATCGTACATATAGTCGATTTAGCCATCCCATATTCATCACTAAGTTTCGCAATGCTTCTTCCATTCTCACGTTTCTTTATAATTTCTTTCTTAGTTTCAAGGGTTATTAGCTTTCTCACTCGCTTTGGACGACTCATTGTTACAATTGTATACTTGTATAACAAAATAGTTATACAAATAATGCGAATTTCCACATCAAAAGACGAAATTTCAACAATAACAGTGGTGCACTGGCTACACAATGAGACAAAGATGGCACCTGACGCTCTTGTTGTGGGTCGCGGTACAACAATATTCATGCGCCAGGCGAAATAGTCCCGTATTCATCCGTGTTCGTTGTAGGAGTTGCGTTCGTTATAGCATTCTCAATTTTATAGGTAAAACCGTTCGTTATAGGAATATTCGTAGTAGGATCCGTTCGTTATAGCATACCCCACTGTATATCAAAACAGTATTGACTGCAGAAGTAAAAATCATAAAGCCAGTGTGAAAATTTTCTTATATTTATTATTCTGAGGTAACTTTGTGTATGTGTTGTCTCATAAATTTTTAAAATTGTATTTGAATGTAGGTGTAATTGCTCCTTAGAAACTAAATTCATTTTCTTTCAAGTACAGTATAATGTTTTTTATCATTTGTATTGGTCATCGGGAAATGCAGTTTTGAGTATGGTGCATGATTTTTTTTTCCTCTCTCCACTTCATGTTTCATATTCTTTATTTTAGATACTCGCTTAGGCTTTGAAGAACGTGAGAATGTTTTGCGTCGAGAGAATAAGGACCTTTTGGCTAGGAGCCATGAACTAGAGGAACAAAATAAGTCTATCCTGGACCAGTTTACCCAATTGTCTGACAAAATGGCTGCAATCCAAACAAAGCTGACATCATCTGTGGTATAATCTAAGTGGCATTTTACTGTTTATTAATGAATAAAGTTATACAGTATATTAGTTATCCCTTGGCATATTCAGTATTAATGTTATTGCACACCTGTCTTGAAGTACAATACCTTACCTACAGGGAGAGGCTGGCAGTGCACCATTTACTGAAGATGAAGCTCGGTCGTCAGACCAGCTTCGTGAAATTATCAAATTCCTTCGTCGGGAGCGAGAAGTTGCAACTGGGAAGTGTGAAGTGGCACAGGCAGAGAACCTGAGACTGGAATCTCAGAGAAATGTCCTCAAAACTCAGCTGGATCAAGTATCAAAGAACCTCTCTGAAGAAAGAGAAAAGAACCAGGTGAGGTGCTTGTTTATTGTAGTCATGGAGATTTATGGAAAGAGTATGATGACCATAAAAAAAATGGACAGTGCATGGTGGCTGTGAAAAGGGTATTTTTATTTTTGCTGGGCATCATGACCAGCCACGGGTCAGTGATGACAGTGTCATTAGTGAGATTCCAAGCCAATGTTTGTAAGACTCCTAACTGTTTTACTATACAGTACAGTTATAAATTGGTAAACTCGCTTACTTTCATTGATTAATGTTCTGATCGTGGGTAGATAGTTTTCCTTTGTTTTAGTTGGTGACAGATTGACAGAGAATCAATATTAACATGTTTGGCCTCTTGGATTATCAGGGTAATATATTTTCTTGACAGGTTGCTGCTGACAATGCTGGGCACTATTCAGAACTACTTCGTAAAGTGCACACTCTAGATGCCCTGGCAGATAGTAATCGACTTATGCGTGAAGAAAAGGAAGGCTTATTGAGCTCTAATGCAGAGTATAAGGCCAAATATGAAACTCTTGAAAAGCAGATTGAACCTTTACAAGAAAAACAGAGGTTAAATATTAACAAGATTGAAGCTTTGTTGGTGAGCATAATTTAATTTTGTTTATCTATAATTTTATGTGAATCAAAGATGATTACTCTTATGGCTTCCTTCAATAATTTGGTGATGGATTACATTCTGTAATTTAAAGTTACAAATGGGATTATTGATTATGAGTTTATTGGATAAGGAAGAAGAAAATTGGGTGCATCATAATTACATTTAACCCGTAACTGGTCAATAATGTTCCTGTACGTGATTACTGATGTTATTATCTCTGGTCAATCACGTACTAGAACATTTTCCAAATATGCTTTCCCTGTGCGTTTGAAACTGAGTCTAGCTACCATAATCTGTTGACTGGTGGTGTCTTGTGTAAATGTTTCCCGCGGCATTGAGAGGACCGGGGGTCCCTAAATGCTGCTACACTCATTTTTTTTATTTATTTATTATTATTTTTTTTTAAATCAGTATGTATATACTGTAAGACTGACCAGAAGTACTGTGGCAACACTGGGAGGGAGTAGGCTAGTCACTACTGCGCCAGCCCAGGATTTAAATGTCGCACAGCACTTTAAATGGGTCGAGTTGTCACTTATACTAGTATTTCTTGTTTTCTTAGGCCATTTTGGGGTCATAAAACATAAATTTTAATTTTCTTAACCATGGGGGTACCGAGTATGTATAATAGTGTGACCTTTTTTGGGTTAATGAAAGGCCAAATGAAGGTTTAGGCTTCTGAAGGGATTCTTAGAAACTGATGCTTCAACCTACCTAGTGACTAAAATTTCAAATACAGTATGTGCTGTACCAGAAGAAAGGAGACTAGATAATGATCATGTTCAATAGCTACAACAACTATCTCGCAATATATCCCAACCCTACTCTATATAAACATTAATTCAATCAAATACATATTCAGTAATAAACAATAATGAATCTTTTGTACATATTCTCAGTCAGATAAATGACGCGGTTTCCTTGAAGGCGCAAGTACACATTGCCGTTCCACTTTCTCTTTTTTTTTCTTTAACATCAATGGTTACTTTTACTGTACATTAATTAAAACATACATATTTTTTTATATTAATTTTACTATAGCAACAACCAGGGTCTTATTTTCTTGTTTCGGATGAATAACTGACATTATGGATGTAAACACAACAATAATAGCATCCCATCTCCTTATATTGTATAAGGTGCATTCATAAACATTATTAAAGAATATAGTTTGCATTTTTCATTAATTGTATTGATAGGGTGGAAAAGAGAGTAAAAAGCCACACAAAGGTTATGAAAAGGTCACACTTGGGAATGTATCGCATTATTATTGCTTTATTTTAATGGTAATTAATGATTCATGATACAATGATTCACCTTACACTACAATATTAGAGGACACATTACTGTCGTTATTCGAGGCTTTACTGTATTTGTATTGGTATCTTTTTCAATAAAATTTACGGAATAAAGCTGAACTGTTTTGGCTATTCCTGGGCCTTTTTCTTGGAAAAGTACGTTTTAACTGCTGAATTTCAATTTCAGCTTGAGAAAAAATCTCTGGAGAATGAAAGGGAAATGTACAGGAAGAGGACGCAGGAGCTTGTGGAGAAGCTAAATCGTGCCAAACCAGAGGACTTCGTAAAGCTCCAGTGAGTTGTTTTTCTGACTTTGTTGTTTAAAGTAATTATAGTACAGTAAAACCCCATGTTGAATTATCCCACAGTAATTGTTGCCATAATAGCAGGTCATGTAAAGTGTAGTCTCATTTTGAGTTGTACAACATAAACCATTTATACTGCAGTTTCCTTAGCATAGGCAGTGAGACAAGCCCTCTGATCACTCAACAGTGTGTGGGTAGTTAGGCTTTTATCATTTGTCTTGAACATGCCAGGGAGCTAGACACAACTTGACCCACCACGTGTCTGTCGCCACCTTAGGGCTTTGTCACTACATTGTATGCACCAAATGTGTTTTAGACTGATATGCATTAGTTATGCCTGCTGTGTTCTAGTTCTGTGTGCATTATAATGGCTCCCAAGTGGCCTAAGTGCATTCTGATGATGATTCAGTCAACAAGAAAACGAGAAAGAATACCAACGTGGAAACCAAGATAGAAGTCTACCTAGAAGTTACCTTGACCCCCACCAGTCTGATAAGAAAATAGAAAATCAGTTTTGGTATAGAAGTAACAAGCCATCTCTAGCTCCCCACATTCTGGATTTATTTATCTTTATGTTCTCTCTAAAGTTTTCATTGGTTTGTTCTTTTTTACAGAAAATATTATTCTAGTTATCATTATTTTTTAACTGATAATTGTCCAGTTTGTGAGTTTATTAGTGTAGCGGATATGGTTGAATTACTCTTTGCTCGGAAGGAAATTTTCTTACATTTCTGAGTGGTTTTCATGTCTTGACCATAATAATTTTGTCTTTACAGACAAGAGGTAACAGAACAACAGAAATTACTGCAAAGTAGAGAATCAGAGATAAACAGACTGAAAAATCAGGTAAACTTGCATGTAGTTTTGTATATGGGTTCTGATTTTTGTTCAGTGAAGTTATATATGAATTTCTGCTATTGTTGTGTACATATCCATTCAAATTTGAATAGTGAAGACAAAACTATGTATTATTTGACTGTAGAAGTTTTTGTATAAGTAATGGTTAGTCTGTGGTAGATGGTCATTTTCTTGTTTACAAATATACATTATTATATTTTTACAGTAAATGTATACTGCATTGTGGAATTGTATGGTGACAGTTGACAAATTTGTTTCTTAATGTTTTAGTTTTTACATTAATGCAGTTTCATTCCTTAAAACTCTAAAATATTTTAATTATTTGTAACTTACTTTATTTGTCCACATTTAGCTGGCACAACTGTCCAAGAACCAGCAAATGATAGTGAACCAGAAGAACCAGTACCAGCAACAGTTACATGGAGTAAGAGAGGAACTGCGTAAGGCTAATGAAGAAGTCAAGAAGAACTTGATAGAGAAGAATAGATTACAACAGCAGGTAGAGTTATGGGTGCTGCTTGTCTTCCATGTAGCTTATTTTAGTGTCCAAAGAACTTTTCTTTATCATATTTTTACATTATTTTCCCCTTTTTGTGGGGAGGGGGGTCAAGGGTTACAAAGATTCCAAGAAAAGATAGAAGTAGTAGAGGAGAGTGACATAAAACAGGTGTAGAGATGACCTGATTGACCTATGACATTATGTTTTATGTCAGCACTGGTCACTGACATGCTGGTCAATAATTTTGGCGGCAGGTCAAAATTGTGCTATCTTGAATCCACCACTAATTTCATATATTTATTTAATATGATCTAAATACAATTATATAATATAGTCAGCGTGTGTGTGTGTAAAGATGAAAATCCAAAGCCAGATCTGTAGCTTTGAAGCCGAAACTGGTGCTGTGCATCTGACTTCGAAGCCAAAACCAAGTCCAAAAATCATGGCTTCCAGAAACTGAAGCCAGCTTGAGCCCCATGCCTGTCAAGGGAGTACCTGATAAGAACCCATCTTTAACTGAAGTAAAAATAAATGATTGATAATGATTGAAGGGAAAACATGTGAATGAATTTGGCATTTGTTCTTGAAAGAACAAAGAAGAGAATAGGTCATGAATGTGACTTAATTCAACATTTAGAATAGCTGTAATAAGATGACTGTCCTTGGGTAAGCATATTGTCAAAGATGGAGTAGCTTATGTAATAGTTCTCTGTTTTTTTTGTTTTTTAAGACTAAAATCCAGTGTAGGAAATTTTTGTATATATATATTTATATTTTTTGTGAAGTGTTTGTGTAAAGTGGGGTTATTAATTTGTAAAAAAAAATCTCTTTCCAGCATGCAGAAGAGAACAAGAAAACTTTATCAGAGAAAGCTCGGCTACAACAGCAGGTAAATACTCAGTGAAAGGAATATTGGGAAGAGAATGTCTACTAAATTTAAATTATGTGTAAAATTGTTTGTGTTTTGTATCTCCCTATAACCTGTTTATATATATATATATATATATATATATATATATATATATATATATATATATATATATATATATATATATATATATATATATATATATATATATATATATATATATATATATATATATATACCAGTATATAAATTTTTTGCCAAAAGCTAGATTTAAGATGAATAGTTGGTGTTGCATAAATGATGTATTTGCAGCTGCTGCAGTCCCAAGAACGAGTACGAGGGTTGGAGTCATCGTCACAACAGGCTCAGGCTACTCACCAACAAGAGATGGGCAATGTATGGCTCTTAATGTGTCATGTGATTTACAATAGTCTGACCTGTCTATATACTTATTATTCCAGTTTATGTATGGTATTTCTTTATTAAGTTGAGAGGAAGTCTGAATGATCATATACTTGTGTACATAATTTATTTTTATTTAAAGCTAATGTGTAATTATCTCAGATGAATGTTATCCAGATACAGTATATGTATTATTAATTCTGTAGGCCTTAGCATCACCACCCTTGTATGGCTTACTTATATATTATCAGCCCTCAGGTGGGCAGATGGGAACCTGTATATAAATGACAGAATATGCCCCTTACAAGCCACAAAATCAGTTTTCACACACAGTCCATTCTTATTTTTACAAGAACTATTTTTCTTATTTTCTTGTCTGTGGTCAGATCCAACTACAGTGCATTAGAAAATAGGGGAAGGTGCAAGAGCACAAAATAATGAATATAACAATAGTTTTAAGGTTTAATTGAGTCTGAAAATAAGTGACAAAATTCAACTGTGATCTTTGGTGAGGGGAAGTGAGCACTTTCCACACTGTCTCAACCTACTTGCCATGATGTTGCTATAATTGGACCAGTAAGGGGATTCCACACACACATACTCATTCTAATTTGTTGTTGGTTAATTTACTGGGTTTTATTCATGTAATATTCAATAGAATCACATTCAAATAATGTTTTATGGTCTGACAGGATTAAGATGTTTTTATTTTTAAGTATAACATCATTAAGATATGATCATCTCTTGAATACTGTACCAATCTTATAACTACAGTAATTTCACCCTTTAGGTAAAAAAGAAAAAGAGATGATAGCTGTTTGTGTATATTTTTACAACCTGTCAAATGTATTGTAAGTTTTGACCATGTAAATATATGTCATTGTACATAAGGGCTTAAAATATGTGCAAATTTATCAACCAGTGAAGTACACTAATTCTCTTTTATTTGAGGCACATATACAGTATTTGAGAAAAGTAACCTCATGATTAGTGTTTCATTGTAACTTCGAGTTGATGGTTTTGTAGAGGGGTCACACAACTACCTGTCAGTAAAACTGGTTAGTCACAGTAGCACACAAATAGGCTTTTCTAGTTTATTGTAAAAAATATTTTCTCTGCGCAATTAAAGTTTGTTATCAGAGTAACTACACTGAGCATATAACTTGCGAAAGTATTCAAAGCAAATATGGGAGCTTCTGAATACACACGACTTGACTGTGTCAGGTACTTTTATCAACTGGTTGCAAATTGTTCACCTATGCCAGGCAGTGAAGTGCAGAGGTCATTTGAAAGACAATGAGGATATGTGACATTACTAAACACTTGCTCTTAGTTTAATTACCATAGATGATGTAATTAAATAAAGAGAATGTATATAGTCCACATTTTTATAAGTATTAATGTCTATTATGGGCTAATACAATATTGAAAAAAAGAACCCAGTTCATCTATGATCAAAGTTAATAAAATTTATCTATTTCTCATCTGTCTGACTGTTTCTTAATACAGATGCTCGAGTTGAAACAGCGGGAAGAATTACAGAGGCATCAGTTGGAAATGACAAAGAAAGAAGCAGAAAACCTTGCTGAAAAGTTGAAGGATGCTGAAGGGAAACTGGCTGAAGCTGTCAAAAAGGCTGACAACTTTGAGAAGCAGTCGCTGCAAGTAAGACGACTGGTTATTATTAATATACAGTATGTTCATACCCCATGGCTCAGTTATTTAGAGCTATAGATTCTCATCCTTTAAGATATTAGCTCTGCCCCTTGGCCCAGTCAATGCCCTGGACTTGGACAGCTCTTCTTGTTTGAGAATTACTACCCTACATGTTTTGGGAAACATTAAAAGATGTAAGTTTTATTTTAATGTTAAATGCTTTAAAGAGGAGTTACATGTTTTATTTATTTCCCAATTACCAGAGCCATGTGGTTACTTGTGTGGGATAACACAATCTGTGATTGAAACTTTATTGTGGCAAAGCTGTAACTTGTTTTCCATAACTCACTACTTCCTTATGGTATGTGTGTGTTCTTTACTTAGTGGGTAATGGTTTGGTGTTGTCATATTTGTTAACATATTCATCATACTCGATTCCGAGTGACAGCAAAGTAGTAAGTAGTAGTAGTAACATATTGGTTTCTGCACAATAATTTAAGTGCTACTCAACATAGCTTCAAAATTAACTTGTTCCATTGCTTATTGACATGATTCAAATACATATTCCAAAGGTCTTCTCATACTGTATTGATATTGTGTTTGACATGTGTTTTATATTGAACTCATACATAACCTGTTTGAGATTCAGAAATGTGCAAACATTACATGATCACTGTTAATGTATACCCCGGTACATTATTTTAATTATTTTTCCAGCTACGCAAGATTGCAACCAAATACAAGAAAGCTGCTGAAGTTGGTGCTCCAGGTGTAAGTGACCAGTTTGTAGCTGGTAGTTCTTTGTTCACTATCTTAGTATTTGCAAGTTTACTACATTATGTACTTATGGGGTGAAGGAAAAGGGCGAGATATTTTCATGAATTTAGTGAAGAATTGTGATATGGCCCATGGAGAGAACACTGCCATGATACAGTTAGAGTTACATAGATTCCTGTCAAAGGTGGCAGTGTTATTTATGCCAGTTCCCCAATCCAGGCTACAAGTAAAGAAATTTCAAGTAGATAACATATTTGGCAGCATTTGTTCTTTTAATAAACTGACTCGTCTCAACAGTCACCTTGGTTACAGTAATCAGGGATATAAAGAACATTGGAATTAAAGTTAGCTTTCATGTCTGGCAAAAAGGTTACTGTTTGCTTATTATTCTTTATACCCTGAAGGCCCTGTTATTGTATATAATTATAGCACCCTTGAGTTATTCTGAAGAACCTCAAAGGTATATTTCTGGGAGTGGGACCAATGTTGATGAATGGTACTGGATCCCCAAGAGTCTGAACAGAACAGATTTTAAAGCTATGACTATGGTTCAGTTATGGTAGTTCTACACATAAGGTGATTGTTTTGAATTTCAGAAACTCAGCATATTTTAACTCATTGCTCGCACTCTGTAAACAGCTTTTGTTGTGAATTATCACTTTGTAGCCTGCTTAAGAAGGTTAACCCATCAGAATTGCAATCTTGATTTTGATGAGAAGAATCAAGTAACTTCCAGCTAAATTATGGAGGCTGTCTGCCTTATGATATAAGGCCTCTGTATTAGGCTGAATCATTGCTCTTTTTCTTTTGTCATAATGTTATTGACATTTGTGAAGATTTATTACTGTTTTAATTTAGATAATTCTGAGATATATAATTATCCTGAAGTTCTTTGATATTCAGGCTGTTTGGATTTTCTTTAACGATTAGTTGTATCCATTAAGTTTCTATATCGATGTAAATTTGGAGGATAACTGAAAAAGTACTGTAGATTAAATTGCTTTATAGCAAATACCTCATAATTATAATGTATTACCAACAATATGAATGATTTCACAGCCTAAAGTATTTATACATATTTTTGTGCTTCAGGGCAGTGGTGATGGTACTGATGGTGAGGCTAGCACTGGCAGTACAGTAGTAGCAAGCTCAGAAAAGATAAAAGAATTAGAGGAAACCATTTCTACTCTGCGTCAGAAACATGAGAGTACTCAAGAGGAGTGTACCAAGTTGCAGTGAGTGTTGACAGTGTATTATGTAGTGAGAGATGTAACTATAAGTATTTTCACTGAAGGTATTAATAGTACTTTTAACATATCATTACATTATTCCTATTGAAGATGGTAATAAACAAACCCAGTACTGTATTATAGACTGTGAAGGAATGATGGTTGTGGTGAAAGACTGATGAACGATTTTTTAGTATTCTTAGCAAAAAGTTTGATTTAACTTTCCTTAAGTTATTCTGGGGATTATAAAGTAATCAACTAAATGAAGAAGCCATTGCTTATAACTGGCACTGTAAAGCCTGTGCCCAGGTGAGGAGGCATTTTTACATGCAGGTTTCAAAAGTGGATTCCAAACAATAAGTTGTTTCATTGTTGAGCCACCCATCATTTTTTATACAGATACACTATAAGACTTAATCACCTTTCACATGCAGTAATATAGAGTGATAATGAATATAATTTTTATTGCAGGCAAGAGATTACTACTATAAAGCAATCTTTATCAAGCAAGGAGTTGGAAAATGGCATGTTGAAGTCGCAGGTAAGTTCACATCATTGTATTGGAATTTATTCTATCTAGGACTGAGAAAGGTTAATACATTTACTTCATGCAACTAAATGTGTAGCATTCTTAGTTACATAAGACATGAGGAAATTGGGAGTGTTAATTATTTGTTGAAAGGTATTTTAGAGCTGACAGATGAAAAGATTTAAGAAAGGACCAAAAAAGGGAGGGATGTCTAATACACTTGTGGGAGTTGATTAGTAGAGCTCTTTTAATTACAGAGTATGATTATACCATATATCAACTTCTTGAACAATGGATGATGAATTGAATCATCAAATAATAGAAGGAAAGAAAGAAAAAGGAAAACTAAGAATTTTGTATATAGAGAACCTTCTTGGGGTACTCTTCCATGGAGTAGCATCCTGCCAAGAGGGAGGGGTAACCTACTAACTCTTGAATTATGAGGTAATAACTTTAGGGTAGACTTGCATCCTACCAAATGGGTGGAGTAACTTCTCTAGCTGGTGAGTGATGGGGGGGGCAACTCAAGGATTGTCTACCATTCTGCCAAAAGGATAGATGATCCACTAGGTGTTGAATGCCAAGACTCAAAGGTCAACACCTGTCTAGTCACTCAGCATCATTGAAGAAGACATATATGCTTTGTAAAAATTGCAATTAGTGTAAATAAAGACCTATTGCTTCTTTGCATGTATTGTAACTTGGTTCTTTTGCAAAACATGTGTAAAAAAAATATGTCCATACACTAGGCTGTGCAAAAATATGTTGATGCCCAATATGATTAAGATTCAGTACAATGGTATATGTACAGTTGTGGTCAACAGTAATCATCCACCCATCCTACTACCATACAGAGAAGCACAAGGCCTTTCTTGATGACAGGTCACAAAAAGGTGGGGAAGTATTGATGAGGGAGTGCTTGGGGTGGCAGACCCGGGTAAGGTAGGAGGGTGCTATTCAAGGGCCACATACGTAAAGAAAGCGTATATATTCTTAGAATAATCCTTAACACCTGAAGAAGGTGTTAAGGTTGGTGGATATAGCTTATTGTTGATGGCCTTAATGAGCCTTGGCAGTTGATAAGCCTAAAGCCCAAACGACCAACCAACCAGGAGGGCGGGTGTCTGGGAAGGTGTCATATGGACTTGACTTTCCCTTAGCTATCTCTGTCTTTACTTGAGATTCTGGGGAGGAATGCGAGTGAGCTTTTAGCAGATAATGTGTCTTTAGGGTTGATAAGGTGTCTGGCTTATGTGAGGGAAAGCCCCTAATATGACAACATAAAAGAGGAGGGGGCATGGCTGGCTGTTATACTTGATCACTTCCACCTCTTGCCTCTACCATTCTTAAAAAAAAAAATCAATATTAATTGATAAAAAAATTAAGAATTAATTATTGGATAGAATGTGACTTATCCATCCTGTAATGTGTTTATTAGAGTTGTGAAAATCAATGTGAAGTAATGAGGTGGTAGTGGCAATGGTGTTTGGCCACTGCTCAACACCCAGCCCAGGATGGACTCTAACGAAAATTGATTGGCAAATTGCTGGCAAATTATTGGTTTGTGAGTGGCTGGTTACAGTGTCAGAAATTGCAAGGTTGTTTGGGGTTACTGTGATGTTGGTTAACTCTCTGGGAGGAGTCTGGGAACTTGAGTATTTTTTATGGTTTGCTAGCACTTGATATATTAAAATGACTAATTTGGGGTTTGTAATGTAAACAAAACATATTTGAACTCTTAATTCATATAAATAATATAATTTGGGGCTAGGGGGACCACGGTTGACAGGCGACGAGCACATTAGACGAACTGTTGAGATTATGTATGATCTGTGTTGGTAAATATTAAAAATAAATATGATTTCCAACCTCATATTCAATATTTCTCCTTATATCAACATTATTATAAATACATAACTACTGTTGTTTAAAGCCTGAACAAGAACCTGAAAGAATAATAATTGAGGAAATTTATAGCACATTATAATAATCATAAAATACTCTTTCAAGCATAGAAATCTAAGATAATTTTGTGAAAAAAATTTACATCCATCCTTCTTTCATGAATTTCCCTGCTTTCTTCGATCCCTTCCCTTTCTAATGAGAACTTTGCATCACACACTTCTCCATCCCAATAATGGCCCTCTCCCAAGTCAACCATTCCCCCTCTCCACCTCGCATGACTTAATGTGCAGAAAGGACCCGGCCAGACGTCGGAGTTAGGTGGTGGAGTGGATGATTACATTTGACCACGGCTGTACAAGAGTGCATAATGTATTAAGTGCAAGAGTGCATGTTCCAGTTTAACTAATATATTCATGTTTTTTCCAGAGTCAGCAGAAGGATGGAGAAGTGACTAAGCTCCGTGTTGAGCTTGAGGGCAAGACACGGGAGCTACAGATTGCACAAAATTTGGCCACACAACTGAAGCAAAATGTTTCTAAACAGATAACAGACATCACAAAGAGATTGGGTATTGAACACTTGATATTAACATAAACTGGATTGTTAAAGAAATATTTATTCAAAAGATGTTTAGAATTTTGAGGGTTAATATTTGTTACTGCAGCCAGCTAGATTTTAATGTTGTTTGAAGAAAGTTTTGTGAATGAAGGCAAACACAATAAGTTTGAATAGAAGAAAATTGCGAACTGATAACAAAGCAAGGAAACCATTTTATTTTTGTTTTTTTATTTGTTTTTTAAACGCAAGGAGTATTGTACTTACTGGATTTATATAGAACCCCTAATGATATTGAATGAGCTCCAGTGAGACACTAACAAAAACAGAAGAATTTATTATTAATATTCTTACTGTCCCCAAACAGAGGTATCAGTACTCTAAAAGTAGTTAGGTTCTGAGCAGTACTCTAAAAAGTAGTTGGGTTCTGTACTGCAGAAACATGAAGTGAAGGAAATTAGCATGAATAGATTTCAAAATTAAAGTAGGCATTTGTAGATCATAGAGTACAGTACTATAATTTCTTCAATCCAAAGGTATTATATAAAATTTCATTAAATTTCTTACAACACATTCCAGAGGAAAGCCAGAGCAAAAAGCAATTGTATGAGAATCGCATTAACCAGCTTGAAAAGGAGCGTGACCAGCTGGCCCGTGAAGTAGAGTCTCACAACAAGAAGCTACAAATGCAGCAACGGCAACTGGAGAACCTTCAGAAGCAGGCAGCTGGGGTAAATTTCATGATTATTAATATTATTTATTTTATTTATTATTATTATTACTATTATTATTATTATTATTATTATTATTATTATTATTATTATTATTATTATTATTATTAAATCTTCCTCAACACTTTGGGGATGTATCTCATTTTATCAACTATATGCCAGTATTTATTAAAATGAAGTGCATCTTGTAACATAGGACTAATTAAAAAGCTCATGCCTCTTAATTTTGAAATGAAAAGTTTTAGTTTTCAAAGAATTAAAGTATATATTGTTTTTTGTAGGCTTCCAAGCCTTCTACAAGTGGTGTGTCATCTGAGAAGAGTGGATTTGAGCCTCCCCCCACAGCAAATATTAAACCTATGAATGCTCCAGTGGCTCCATCAGCCTCTCCACGGTCACAAGCAGCCACACAAGTTGTTCCACCATCCCGAGCCATCCCGACTGCAAGTATTCGCCCAATGGCCCCACCGTCGGGAGGCTCTGCACCGCCTCAGGGATCAACTGTAATGGTAGTGTCTCCGTTAGAAACTCACAGTGATGGCATGGTGTCTTCTACTGTGACTCTACCTCAGGCCACAGTGACACCGACACCAGCCATATCAGCCCCAACAATTCTCACTACTGCCACCACAACACCTTCAGCCACCACCACGATGACCACTACCCTCACTGCAACCGTGTCTCCCACACCAGCTTCTGCTTCTCTCACTACCCCAGTGGCATCAGCTGTAGCTATTCCCTCCATTACAGCTTCACAGTCATCCTCACAGTCCTCGACTGCCACTCAGTCAACTCTTGCAAGTCAGTCATCTGCAGCTTCCCAGTCTACCACTGTTGTAGTGGAGTCTACCCCTGCTACTCAGTCAACAGCAGCTGCACAGTCAACTCCAACTACAAAATCATCTGGTTTGCAGACAGCTACAGCCACTTCCTCAACAGTGGCATCTCAGTCCACTTTAGCCAATCAGTCTACACCACAAACAGCTATAGCCAGTACTTCTGTTGTTGCTCCAATTGTTTCAGTTGCTACTGGAGCATCTGGAGCCATAGCAGTTGCTTCGTCTAAGACACCAACAGCTTCAGCAGCACACATAAGACAACAAGAATCACAGGAAGTATCAGCTGATGCTTTGGTATCTCAAGCAATTGCTCTTGTAAGTCCACTTAGCTCACAGGAAGTAGCTGGTCCTTCAGGCATTACCTCACAAAAAAGAAAGCTAGAATCAGCTGAAGCTGTTACTAATACTAAGGATGCAAAACGTTCTTGTCTAGATGAAGATGCTCTTTTATCTGCTGAAGAAGCTGGACCATCATCATCTCATGCAGAACAGGAAAATGATGATGCAAGTCAAACTCCTGATAATGAAGAAGATGTCATTCTATTGGAATCAGATGATGAAAATGAAGAATATGCTGATCAGGGTGATGATGATGAAGAGGAGGAGGATGAAGAAGAAGAAGAAGAAGAAGAAGATGATGAACAAATGGATGATGAGGATCAAGATCATGGCATTCACACTATTGATACAGATGATGATGAAGATGATGAGGCAATGGAACATGATGAAACTACCCGAGAGTGCAGTCAAGGTCTTGATGCAGAGGCTGGTCAGAATACAAGAGAGGCTGAAGAAGATTTGGGAAATGCTGATGCAGAAGCTGAGGCAGCATCTCAGGTATCAGTGGATGCTGAAGACTCTCGTGGTGAAGCACAAGAGACACCGAGTGAAAGTGAACGACCTCAACCTTCTGCAGGATTAAGCCAGCCATCTTCCTCCAGTCGTGGAGACGGTCCTGCTGAGACCAGTCCACGAACACCTCTTGTACTTCCACGACCTATCGTACGGCAAGAACGACTCGGTTCAGTTGGCCGCCAGACCTTAGCACCCTTCAGTCAACTTCCACAATATGATGAAGGAGGAGATGACAGTATAGTGCCATCAACACCTACACTATTTGTTCCAAGGCGTGGAGATGGGTTTTCTGAAGCAGTCAGCTCACCACAGGTTCCTTCAGCTGGATTTGTGTTTGGATCAAACACAGAATTATCCAATCCACCACAAACAAGTGAGTATATTTGCTGATGTACAAATATAATACACTAAGTGACTACATTAAGAAAATGTGGTCAGTCATACACAAAGCTACTTTGCTTTTTATCTCTCCATCTCAAGAGTGAAAGAGTTATATACAGGGGGTCCCCGCCTAACGAACGTCCAACTTATTCACGCCTGCTGATACAAACGGTTAAACTTGAAATTTACGGTATTTTATTTACCTGATGGTTTATTTTTTACCTTCATTTACTGTATTTTGTTCTATTTCTTCTTTTCTCTTAATTTAAGTTATTTTAGATTATATGAGGACTTTGGCTATGATATAGTTGGATCTTAAACGTTGTTCTGTAAGTACGATATATACAGTGGGGTATGCTATAACGAATCTAATTGGTTCTAGAACCTTGTTCGTTATAGCATTCGTTCGTTATAGGATTAATCCGTTCCAGGTCCCCAAATACAACCACTTAACACTGAAAAATATAATATAAAATTGAAAAAAATTGCAAAAAAGTGCATAAATATGCATCTAAACCCCTGAAATAAAGAATATAATTAATACTTGTAATAAAAAAACAATAAATTATTAAAAAAACAAAAGAAAAAAAAATTTTGTTGTAGGAGTTTCGTTCGTTCTAGCATTCTCAATTTTATAGGTAAAACCGTTCGTTATAGGAATATTCGTAATAGAATCCATTCGTTATAACATACCCCACTGTATATATATATATATATATATATATATATATATATATATATATATATATATATATATATATATATATATATATATATATATATATATATATATATATATATATATACATACATATACATATATATATATATATATATATATATATATATATATATATACACACACACACACACACACCTACCCCGACTTACGATGGGGTTAGGGACCCAACCAGGTCGTAAGTCCGACATGGTCATAAGTCCGACATAGATAAAATTTTTTTTTTTTTTTTAATAAAAATCTACAATGAAATACAGCGTAAAAGTAATGAATAATGATGAATGGATATATAAGTGAAAGTAATAAATAATAAGGAATGGATACAGTGTGACTGAGCACTTAACCTTTAATGTAGTCAGCTGAATGCACATGGGGCCCTCATAATTTCTAATTATACATGGAGACTACATTAACTGGAAACGTTTCGGTATAGAAAATGTGTCATTTAATTTTTTTTTTTTTTTTTTTATCTATATTTGAGGCGGTCATCTCCCGACGAGGTCGTAAGTCCACGTAGTCGTAAGTCGGGTCTAGGTATATATATATATATATATATATATATATATATATATATATATATATATATATATATATATATATATATATATATATTTATGTAATTCCACAATGAAAACGTGGATAAGATATTTAAGCTTTATTCAAGACATCTTCAGAGGCTTCTGAAGATGTCTTGAATAAAGAAAAAGCTAAGGTAATTCGTTATTTCATTTTCCGAGGATTTATCAATATATATATATATATATATATATATATATATATATATATATATATATATATATATATATATATATATATATATATATATATATATATATATATATATATACACACACACACACACACACACACACACAGTATTACCCCGCCTAACGCGGTTTTTCATATACGTTTTATCTATACGCGTGCCTCGCCAGAGCTGAACTTTCACTTAACACGGATTTTTTCCACATATACGCGGTGAGTGTCCGGCTCGAGACGCTATTTTTAGATTTGCCCCACCCGCCACCCTGCCTGACTGCCTGTTTTAGCTCATAAAATTCATACAAATTACCCGGCCAGAATATAATTTACATTGCTGGAATTCTTATAATTTGGTGATCATTTTGAATATAAACATCATATATTTTGCATTAGACATACAAATTTTAGATAAAAAATTTTCTCAGAGTAACTATGTTATCTTTTGTGCAAAATATATGACATTTATATTCAAAATATTCCTGGTCTTACAAGGAATCCAGCAATGTCAATTATATTATCCTAACTTTAGTTTGAGGTATTATTTATTACAAAAAAGTTAAGTATTCTGGTTTTCCCACACATCTCCTTGGGACGGTTGGTGGGGGGTGGGGGGGAGGGAGGGACCGACCGACCATCTGTTACCCTGTGAAGAATATTTTTTTTTTTTTATTAACTGAAGATATTTGTTTTAGCTCATAAAATTCATACAAATTACCCGGTCAGAATATAATTTACATTGCTGGAATTCTTATAATTTGATGATCATTTTGAATATAAACATCATATATTTTGCATTAGACATACAAATTTTAGATAAAATGTTTTCTGAGTAAATATGTTATCTTTTGTGCAAAATATATGACATTTATATTCAAAATATTCCTGGTCTTACAAGGAATCCAGCAATGTCAATTATATTATCCTAACTTTAATCTGAGGTATTATTTAATACAAAATGTTAAAATTTATTTTTTTCACCCCACATCTCTTGAAGGGAGGATTGGTGGGGGGTGGGGGGGAGGGTTGGGACTGACCGCGCGGTTGGAAGAGGGGGGGAGGCAAGGTGGGGTACTTTGATTGACAGATAGTGTCGTGAAGATTATTTTTTTTTTTATTAACTGAAGATATTTGTTTTAGCTCATAAAATTCATACAAATTACCTGGTCAGAATATAATTTACATTGCTGGAATTCTTATAATTTGGTGATCATTTTGAATATAAACATCATATATTTTGCATTAGACATACAAATTTTAGATAAAAATTTTTTCTCTGGGTAACTATGTTATCTTTTGTGCAAAATATATGACATTTATATTCAAAATATTCCTGGTCTTACAAGGAATCCAGCAATGTCAATTGTATTATCCTAACTTTAGTTTGAGGTATTATTTATTAAAATTTAGTGGTTTTCCCCCAAAAATTTCTCAGAGAGGGAAGAGCCGGCAGTGTAGTGTGAGAAGGGGGAGGGAGTTGAGTCCATTATTTGAATGGACATTAACTTGGCGACTGTATTTCTCTATTTCTCTTAAGTATTAATTGTGTGCATGTACCATCATAAAATTAAGATGTTATTTTTACTACAACATAGTTATGTGTCTTCAAAAAGTGGAGTTTGGGGGTCGGGCGGTTTCTATTGGAATTAATCCCATATGTTCTGTTGTTCACTTAACGCGGATTTCACTTAACACGGGACCCTCTGGGTTCTATTGACCGCGTTAAGTGGGGTACAACTGTATATATATATATATATATATATATATATATATATATATATATATATATATATATATATATATATATATATATATATATATATATATATATATATATATATATATATATATATATATATGTATGTGTGTGTGTGTGTGTGCTGATAACCACAAGGAAAGAAGAAAACACGAAGTTCCCAAGCGCTTTCGTGTAATTCACATCTTCAGGGGTGAGTACAGACTAGTCTGTACTCACCCCTGAAGATGTGAATTACACGAAAGCGCTTGGGAACTTCGTGTTTTCTTCTTTCCTTGTGGTATCAGCATATACCTAGATCACGCGCACCTACAGTGATTTACTTGCATATATATATATGTGTGTGTGTGTGTATATACAGTGGTCCCTCGGTTAACGAACACAATTCGTTCCAGAAGGTCGTTTGTTAACCGAAACCATTGTTTCAATGGGATTTTGGGTAATTGGTTCCAGTTCACCGAAAATTACATACAAACTAAAAATAAATGCAGTAAAGCACACTTACTTTGAGGTGTGCATGTAGAAGGCTCCTGGTTGATGATGATGATGGAAATTAGAAGTGGGGGTGGAGGAGAAGGGAGAAGAGAAGGCAGTGGAGTGGAAGAGAAATCACCCCATGCTTCATGCCGCCATTTCACCCATAAAATTTTAAGTTCAATATTATTTTCTTTAAATCAACACTGCACTGCACTATATATTGTCAATATGTAAAATAAATTTCAGGATGACCAATAATTGTTCTGTAAAAATAATTTATGTTCAAGAGAGTCTCAAGCAAGATGCTTCCTCCACTGAGCAGAGACACAAACTGACGCCATTCTGGGTGAGTCAAGTGACTGTTTGGCGCGCTAAAAACTAGTTCCCTGTATTGTACTTCAATTACGTTAAATATGTGTAATTGTTAAAATTACTCAAAATTTTAATATTAGACTTGGAAAATTATTGAATAGTACAACCTTCTTGATATTTACTCAAATGGTAACGAATTTAAGCCCTAAAACCAATTACTGTATTGGCGGACTAATACTACAGCTGGTGAGTAGGTGAAAGCAGGCGAAAACATATTGGGAAAAATTCATAAGGAATTCGTTAACCAAATTTTTTTCGTTGCTTCAAGTTTATAAGGGATTCATTCGTCCTAACTTGGAATACTGCTTTCATATTTGGGGTGGCTCTTCTTCTGTTCATCTGCTAGATAGGGTGGAATCAAAGGCATTTTGTCTTATTAACTCTCCTCCTTTATTTGATAATCTCTCTTCCCTTTCTCTTCACCACAATGTTGTTTCACTCTCTCTTTTACAGGTACTTTAATGGGCAATGTTCGGTGGATTTAGCATCCTTTGTACCGTCGACAAGGCTGTCGGCTCATAACACTCTTCTTGCCCATGGTGCCCACTGTTTCTGTGTGGATATCGGTCACACTAGAAAAACCCATTATAGTACATCTTTCTTTCCTAACAGCCAAACTGTGGAATGCTCTGCCTTCTTCTGTGCTTCCATACACTTACAATCTGTCTCACTTCAAAAAGCTGGTTTTCCTGCATCTTCGTGATGTAGATTAATTAAGTCTTTTTCTCTTGTTTTTTGTTTTTAATTTCTTTTTACTCTTTATCCCCCCCGGCCAGTTGTAGGTCGATGACCTGTGCCCGGGTGGGCTCTTCCTGTAAGAAAAAAATAAAATAAAATGCATAAAAAAAAAAAATTAATAATAATTATGTAAGATTATACAGTGGTTTGTAGAGCATGAGGATTTTATTTAATTTAAAAAAGTATAGATATAATTACTAAAGACTTCAACATCTAATGTATTTTATTGTCAGGTGGCTTAGCACAAATGGCTGAGGGTGGCCTTATTGATGATACCCGAATTGACTTGGGGCAGTTGGACGAAGGCAACAGATCTCAACCAAGTACCCCTCTCCACCGTTCCCCAACAGGTACTGTGTGTGTGTGTGTGTGTTTATATATCTGTTTGTCAATCTCATTCAAAGGAGAGGGGAATAAAAAGCAATCCCCATGTACATCAACAAGTTTGTGTGTTTCAGCTTTTGAATACATCTCCTTTGTGAAGATAGACATTTTAGGAGCTACATATCTACAACTTGACTCATGTATTATATTTGTCATAAATTTTCGGTTAGGATTCAGGGAAATTGAAACTTAGGCAGTTTAGGGCCATAGCCTGGTACAGCATAAACAAAATTTGGGTGATAAAAGTAAATTGTGCACATTTTAAACTACAGATATATAAATTAGTGCATCTTGTATTCATCTCTTTACTCTTTGTTGTGTGTTTTCACAAGCTCTTTATTCTGGTCCAGCTGATTTAGGGGCTGAGGGAGGTGTAAGCACTAGTGAAGGAGATGCAATGCACCGTGAACCACCCACAGTCATGGTGACAGAAGCTGAGCAATCTAATGAAGAAAACTCAAAAGACTCAGAAGAGAATTTTACTGAGGCTGACTCCATGGCTGCAGAAGTTGGAGAAGATGTAGAAGATGAAGAGGATGATGATGCTGGAGCTGAAGCTGATGATGATGGTATGTCCAGTCCCCTTCACTAGTGCATTTACAGGAGTGTTTGTTTACATTTGACAGAAGGAAACTGGCACTAGTAAAAATATTCTGGAATCAAATTAAAACAGTGTTAAAACAAATATCTCCAAGATAATGATTTGTGTAATGTTTATATGATGAGTCCCTGTAAATGCACTAGTGAAGGGGACTGTACATACATACCTACTGCATTTCTTACAACACTACCTTACTCTTAGCCCAATTCCATGTAATACCATACATGAAGGAAGTGTGAATATTACTTGTCTTTTTACTTTTAACTTTCTTTTTAGAATGACTTAGACTCTTTCCTGAAAATATGTCCCTTCTCGTCTGTATTCACAGACATTCTCTTTTTAGTAAATTTTTAAACTTGTTCACAAATGTACAATATATATCTCTGTGGGCTCTGTTAATGTAGATTTTTCTTTAAATAATAAAGCATTGATCATCACTTGGGGTTAGGTGAATCAAACCTTTATCCCTCTCCCCAACATCTCATAATACAGTATTACATGGGCTACCTACATAACTACTTACTGTATTTTCCTCACTTTGGGAAAGAAATATAAAACTTGGCCAAAAAACTAATTCATCGGTAGGTTGACTGCAGAGCTCATTGTGCAGCTTTTACATATTAAAATATATAATATTATACAGCAGTTATAGACACCATCTACAGTATATGATGAATAACAGACCATTTGTAGTATCTCCTTTTTAAATTTTAAGATGTTAAAACATTTTCTGTGATTAATGGGATCAATAGTTTAGGATGATATTTAGTGGCCTCAAGTTATACTACAGCATATGCTGTCTGGATATAATAATGCCATTCAACTTTCAATAAGAAAAACATTATACTGTATAAATATAATAATGCTGTAGTGATTGTAACAGCATGCCAGAATGTTGGTGATACACCTGGTGTGGACCTCACTCAGTCAGTGCTTGGCTGATGGTTATCTCAAAGGTTGGTAGATGGAATTTTAAGGTCAGAGGATGGTAGCCCTTGACACCATACATTGGTATCCATTAATATGGTGCTGGAACTAGCTTGTTAAAGTCTGGTATAGTAGTGCAACACTTGGGTATTATCACATTCAAAGTTAACAGAATTAACCACATTTGTACAAATGACATTGGCTGCTGCATCAGAAAATGGGAATTCAGAAGTTTGCAACATCAATTTTAAGTCTAACCAAATATTTGTCAGCAATCTGCATTACCATTGTTTATAACGAGTTCATATTATTATGGAGTAATTTATGGTTACATTCTCTTCATATTTCTTTTGTAAATAATTAAGTTGTAAATTATTATCAATACTTAATATATAACAAAGTTTAAGATGATTAATATAGCATACCTAAATCTATAAATGTAATCCCTTCACCATATTAGTACCTACCAGTAACTCATGACTTGAGCTGCATCTGAACACACGTTTTGTAAACATGCTGAGTACAGCATCAGTCGCTAATTGTCTCCTGTCAACTCCAATTTAACAGCAACTTCTCTATAAGCAATTCATAGCATTAGTTGTAAGTCAAGTCCATAATCAAATACAATACAGTATTTGTACCTCCTATCTTTATCATTTACAGTGATTGACTTGGAAGAGGATGATGAAGGCGAAGAGGCAGAAGCAAACAGACAAGCAGGTGAAGCGGAGGAGAGAATTGGCGGTGATAGCAGTAGTCAACCAGCTCAGGATGTTTCTAGTGTACCATCCTCCACACCCAGCTCTTTACCATCTTCCTCTCAGCAACGAAGAATTACACCCATTACTTGGGATGAATCTCCTCGGAGAATTCATAGGGGTAAGTTGTTATTCTCTGGCAATAGCACTATATAATAGCCTACATTATTTTAGGAAATGTGCTTTATGCATGGTGAGATGGTGGTAGATTTAGGGTAGAAAGTACTGATGATAGGCAATGGTGCTATCTTGTGAGAAGTGACTGACATAATACAGAATTGGAACCTTTTTGTGGAAGGGGAATTCCATAGTAGAACACATCTCTTACACCAGTAAGAATGAAGGGCAAATGTGGGTTTGCAATTGTTATTGTTGTTTACCATATAGTTTTAAATTGAAAAAGGCTTGAAAGAATAGACAAAAATTACACCGGCTTGCCATTATCTTCTGTGTGTGTGCCATGGATTTGACATCAAGTGAGAGACAGGATTTCAACATACCCAAGTAAAGTGTAGGTGTGTGTAATTATTGATTACACCACATAGACATAATATAGCTTATTATGAGTACTAATCTAATAATTTAAGGAAAATAAGCTACCAAACAGGGAGGTACTACCGCCTGGGAAGATATTGGAAGCATAATGTGTTGTCTAATGGTAGACCCTGCTGCCATATGGCATCACGAAAATTGTGACCAAGTCCCAGGTTGCTGATCTGACTTTCTGCCTCAATTTCAGGGTTTCAATTGTTTCTTTTAATTTGAAAACACAACATACATACTGTATACAGTTTCTCACTATCGATCTTTTTTTATTTTTTATTTATTTATGGTCCTTTATAATTATTGTTGTTATTATATATATATATATATATATATATATATATATATATATATATATATATATATATATATATATATATATATATATATATATATATATATATATATATATATATACAGTATATATATATATATAATGTGTTGCCCAGTCTGGACTAGTTGATAATAGACAACTTGGTTGCTTAATAAACAATTCTAATGAAAAGGATGTGTAGAGCAAGGACTCGTGTAGACCAAGGGTAGCAGTTTGAGTACGGACACATATGTGAAAGTTTCATGAATGCTGTTTAACCCCTTGGGTATGAGGGGGTCTATGTGCTGTACATATCACTTGGCATTAACCATATAAATTATTGAATATTGAACTCAGTAATGAAACGGTTAAAGGGAACTAAGCAGATTAAAAAATTAGCCCTCAAAAATACATGTTATCTGAGTGAAGTCCGTGAAAAGAAGTTTGACCCTCATTCATAGGGTAAAAGTGGATTATTAACACCCCCTCCCAATTTCAAGATGTTTTGGGCAGTACGTTAAACACACCTTGCATTAAATGGTGCTACTATCCTGATATGTTTTTACCCTCCCCCTCCTTTTTTTTTTTATTGTCCTCTTTGTTGAAGTTCTCTTTACACTTTTTTATGGTTTTACATTCAAAATTTTTACCCCTTCAATATTAACCTTTTCATCATCTTTGTGTATAGTCTTTTTTTTTTTTTTTTTTTTTATGTGCTCCGGTTGGTAATCTAGCGCCTGATCCTTAGGTCGTGGTTTGTCAATGAGTCGTGGAGGAAGAGGGCTTCTGAGAACTCCTGCCATGGGTGGCCGAGGATTTAATCCTTTAATGCATGCACCTTTTCTCATGCGTGGTGGACCACAGCGAGCTAGAAGATCACGTCCTGGACCTTTCCCACGGGGTTCCCCAATGTAAAGCTTTTGGAGATGTTTTATAAAATTTAAGTGCAAATGAAGATATATATAGTGCTTGAGTGTATTTTTTATAATTTATTTGCATAAAAAGCTTCCATGCTGTATTTCATTAATTTTTTTGTTACAGTTCAAGTGATAAAAGGAGCTTTTCCTATTTTCTTATCTTAAAGAATGTTAAAGTAAATAAATGCATTGTGACTAATGCTGTACCGGATAAAAGCTTAAGTATAATATACAGCAATACATGTCTTGTGCGTTTCTATGATGTGGACAGATCACAAAAAGTGTTACATGTAAGTATTGTACTGTACTTCAAGATTCCCCAAAGTGTTATGAATGATAAATGTGAATTTAATTTTTTTTTAAAAGGTCTTTGAAAAAAGCTTGAGTATACAATTCTGTTTGCCTTTTCTTTTTCTTTATTTACCCATGACTTAAGTCCTTGCTTGTCAAGTTCTTAATTAAATAATACAGTTGCATATTTTCTTTTTAAGTTCTTCTTTATAAGAAAAGTTTATAAATATTTAATTTTGGGGGATATTTTTAAGTATCTTTACTGTAGCTGCAGTTGACATGCAAATTAATAAAAAGAAATTGAAATTTTACAAGAATAATTTCACCTACAATACAGATTTGTAATAAATAATTTTCCCAGTCCTTTCTCCTCACCCTTCAAACTACAGTACTCGCCCCCAGTATAAAGTTTATACTGTAGGTGGGAGTATACAAACTTATCCATATTTGTCTTCAAAATTTTATTTCTATTCAATACAGTATACAGTGGTCCCTCGATTAACGAATGGTTCAATTAACAAAATTTCGGTGAACGAATTAGCTCCCATAAGGATTTTCAGTTCCATAAACAATCAAAAATTTGATTAATGACAGCCTTACGAGAAACGTGCTTTGTTGTGCGCATCAGCTGATCGGCTAGGCCGCCAATACAGTAATTGGTTCTATGTTTACATTCATTTCCAGTGGAGTAAATATCAAGAAAGTTGTGCTCTTGAATTTTATGCATTTTTTATATTAAAATTATTGGTCATCCTAAAATTTAGTTAATATATTGATAATATATACAGTACAGGGAACAGTTTTTGTGTGTCATTCAGCTGATCGAATCGCCCACCAACGCTTCTCAGTTTACAGTAGAGTGAACATTGAGTTTGTTGGTCTCTTGAATATTTTTGCATTTTTACATTAAAATTATTGGTCATTCTGAAATTTAGTTAAAATATTGATAATATACAGTGCAGAAATTATTATGAAACACGAAGAAGGCATTAGAACCAATGCACTCTGTAAAGAATATGGCATGTCATCATCAACTGCCTCTACAATCAGCCGTTTGACATGTAAACAAAGCTGCCGGGAATATGACATACACACCTCAAAGTAAGTTCAAATACAGTACAGTATTCTATTGTTTTTTATTTATTATTGTACAGTATACTGTACAGTACCCTACTGTACTTATACTTTTTTCTGTGAGATGTAACCAGTTACCCAATATCCCATTGAAATAATAGATTCAGTTAATGAAATTTTCGGTTAACAACAGACTCTGGAACCAATTGTGTTCGTTAATCGAGGGACCACTGTACTGTACTGTATAATAATGAAATCTGCTGTAGTATTAAATGGCAGTTCTAGCCCATGAGAGGCCCTATTTACATTCCTTCACATGCACTGAAACACACATTGCTGTGTAAATACATATCGACTGTAAATTTTCAAAATTGATTTTGGAGATCACTTTACTACTTTTACTGTTCTGAGACTTTCTATCCTATTTATAGTACAGTTCTCCTTATTAAGCAGTCAATTGTAGTATTTACTCCAGGCAACCTTGATTTCCTCATCAACAACCACATTACCATGGTCATTTCTTATGCACTGCTTGCCAACAACATCCTTGTTTCTACCCACTATTTGTCTGGCTATTCTGAACACCTCACCTCCTGTGTCTGTATTATTCAGCATATCCATGAATGCATCTTTTTCATGTTTTTTAACCTTATAAACCTCTTCTATGGCCCTGTGCAGGCCTCCAGATATGTACTCCTCTTTGTCATTACCCACCTTCCAGGCCTTATATGTACAATCTTCTTTTCCCCCTTATCACTTTATCCACTCCATTGTTCCACCACCATGTTACTGCATGCCTGGCTGGCCACTTCGTCCAGCCGCACACTTCAGCTGGACTCGGCAGAACATACAGTACTTCACATTTTGGCCCAACATCTCACATTACCCGTCACACTTTCGCTGGTTGTTTCCACTTTTCTCATCTCTGCATAGAATGCTTCTCTCATATTTTGTTCCATCAATTTCCACACTCTCCTTGGAACATACACCTTCCTTTTGCTGCACTTTTTAAGCTACATAGCACACACAAGCAATCTTTGTTGCAGGGTGCATTCTTTCCCTGCTATGACATTTTCATCCCTAATAAGCTTCTTATCTGATTTCTTGACAAGAATGTGGTCAATCTAGGTTTTGTGTCACCTGACTCGTACATAATCAGCCTACTTGCCTCATTAAATGTATTGCATACAACCTTGTTCAGGGCATCCCAAAAATCATGTATTCTTTCTCCTTCCATATTTCTGTATTACTTTCTGTGTGTACTCCAACATGACTGACCATTTAGATCACCACCCAGTACAGTGGTTCCTCGGTTAACGAAATTTCGGTTAACGAATTACCTTCCATAAGAATCTTCATAACAGTTAACGAACAAAAATTCAGTTAACGAAATTCTTACGAAAATGTTTCGACATGCTTTGGCTTGCTCACCAGCTGAAAGATTAGTCCGCCAATACAGAAATCGGTTCTTGGGCTTACATTCGTTAAAATTGGAGTAAATATCAAGAAGATTGTACTATTTAATAATTTTCCAAGTTTTATATTAAAATTTTGAGTCATTTTAACACTTATTTAACATAATTGCAGTACAGGGAACTAGTTTTTGATACGCCCATCAGCCACTTCACTCACCCACCAAGGCCTCAGTTTTCATCTGTTCAGTGGAGGAAACATCTTGCTTGTGGGTCTCTTGAACACAGAGTATTTTTACGTTTTTACTTTACAATTATTGGTCATTCTGAAATTTATTTAACATATTGACAATATATAGTGCAGTGCAGTGTTGATTTAAAGAAAATAATCTTGAATTACACCTACTGAACTTAAAATTTTATGGGTGAAGCATCAAGCATGGGGTGATTTCTCTTCCATCCCACTTCCTTTTCTTCTCCATTCTCCTCCACCCCCACTTCTAATTCCCATCATCATCTTTATCATCAACCAGGAACCTTCTACATACACACCTCAAAGTAAGTATACTTTACTGTATTTTTTTTTTTACTTTGTATGTAATTTTCGGTGAGCTGAAACCAATTACCCAAAATCCCATTGAAACAATGGTTTCGGTCAATGAACGACCTTCTGAAACGAATTGTGTTTGTTACCCGAGAGACCACTGTACAGTACATTGGACCCCCATGTTACGGGAATTCTGGTTATGGAAATTCGCCGTTACGGACATTGTAAATCACTGCCACTAAAATCAGGATACGGAATGAAAATTTGCCCATATGGAATTTTACAAAAAATATTAAATTTTTTCAACCCTCAAACGTCGGGTGAAATCATATGATCATAGGACAACTGCCAGGCATAATCATATGACTACAAGGCATTTTTCAATTGTCTCAGGTAAAATTTTTCACACTTAGCCCACCAGGCATCTGCATAGCAACCATTTTAAGCCTACTACAGTATCACTACAGTAGGCTCCTTCCCTTGTGGGAGCTAGTTTGGAGTGGAGTAGAAATAGCATTTCTACTGAAGAAATTGATTATGAGTTGGGTAGGACTGACATGTTAGTGGATATGGTGACAGTGAGTGGGAACCAGAGGATGAAGATAAAAGTAATTCCTCAGAGGAGGAGAATATTGAGTGCTGCACCAGGACAAACAATGGCTGCACACTACCCAAGTAAGTGACCCTAATTCACCACCAGCTAATACTGTACACCAGGACAGTACAAATTTTGCTTTTGTTTAGAGTGAAGGGAGAGATTTTGTGCCAACCATTCCCAATTTTAATCCATCAACACCAGAAATGTGTCAGAATTATCAAATTTCAGAAGACTGAATATGTCTATTATTTTTTTACAATTAATGGCCATAGATATAGTGAATATGATTGTGAAGGAAACAAATGATTTCCATGAATGGTATAACAGCACACATGATGTCACTGTGAGTGAGTCCACATGTGCAGAAGTGGTATGATACGACACCTCAGGAAATTTGTCTGGTAAGCATTACAGGTAGTTTTACTGATGCCACTTATACTAAGAAACATGATTTCAGAGAAAACTGGATGCTTGATACACTCATTGGTACACCAGCCTTCAGTATGTACATGGCATGTGATAAATTTCTGAACATGTGAGGTTTGTACACTTTTCCAGCAACCAACTACCTCAGCCAAATGATTGCTTATATAAATTGTGTAATTTTTTTATGTTGAGGACAGATTTGCAAAGGTTTCAAACCTATTTCAGAAACTTGTTATTGATGACAGCTTGGTATTATTTTGTGGTAGATTAATTTTCCACCAATAAATACTATCAAAATGCCACAGATTCTGATTCATTTTTTTTTCTGTGATTATGAATCTGGAATTATTTTGGATATAATTTGTTATACAGCAACTGATGTGGACATACCAGCTAAAGATCCTCATGGTTCTACTGTTGCAATGGTAAAAAAGCTCATGGAAAAGGACACATTCTGCATACGGATAGTTAATACACAAGCCCCATTTTTGTAAATACTTGAAAATTTCACAAGTACAGTTGGTACAATGAGAGTGAACAGGAAGAATATATCAAAGTTCACAATGGTGAGTGGTGAAGTTCAGTTGCAAAAGTCGGAGAAGATTTTGGATGTGGAATACCATGATAAACTTGATGTTTATTTCTGGACAACTACCCACAAAGGCGAGAAAAAGGACACAGGCAAAGTTAATTTTCACACGAGAACGAATTGAAAATATCTGATGATTGGTTCCATAGACTGTCAGAAAATACTTGAAGTAATTCAAGAAAATGCTTCTGCAACTGGTTGACAGGAGCCTTTACAAGAGCAACTGCATGTTCAGAGGAAACACGGGCAAGAAAGTATTTCATGTGTTTTGCCGTGGTGTTGAACAATTATTAGAAGGATATGGCACACTGCAGTCACAACAGATTGAAGAGCACAAGCTACTCGCAGTCAAGGTAGGCTTGGCGCTACAGTATGGATCACACATCACTACCTACGCAAATGAGGAGGGTAGGTCAATGAGGTGTGTGCTCGTACAACACGGCAGCTAATCAGGTAGAAGTTAGTTTCAACCTGCTGTCAAGAATGCCAAGTAGCATTGCATGCTGGTGAATGCTACCATGATTATCAGTTTGAAGAAATATTGAAAATTTTAATTAAAACAAAAAATTATAGTCTTTAGTGTACAGTACAGTATATCATTATAAAAAGAAAAGCTCGTGTGTATATTACCATTTTGAAGAGAAATTTGTTTATTTATAA